GCTATTAATGTTTTGTGAATATATACAATCCTTAATATATCATGATCAAATCTCATGTGTTTCATAGATCCCGTATCATGTTCATAATTACATTCATGTCAATAAATAGCTTTTAATCATGTTCGTGGTTCTCGAGCCGCATGCCTATTCAAGATTCATTGATCTTTATCATATTCACGTCATGAAATGGTTTTAACCATGTTTTTAAATACAAAGTCAAGTACATGGGTTTCAAGAAAATGGCTAGTCATGTGTTAATCATAATCATAAGCTTGATCATGGCAAACAAGGAGAGTGATCAACTCTTGATGGGCATCGTAGTCATAGGTTCATGGTTTATATTTATGAACATCACAATAGGACACATGTTTAATGCTTTTCATAATTTTCAAAAGGCATGGCTTTCATGAAGCCGGGTATATATCTATGTTCGATAGGGTATACCTAGTTACGTAAAATATATTTCAAAGCCATGAAAATGTATTTTAATGCATCACAAAGCATTCATGCACAAAAGGCATCACCCGTATTACATGGATTGCACTTATTGAGCATTGCATTGCATTGTTCACTCTTCAATTCTTATGGTTTAGAAAAGAAGACAAAGGATTAAAGATCATCGTTGCCAAGATATGTCGGAGACTTGCCAAAGATGTGCTTAGCATAACGAAGTATAGGAACCTTACCTCACTCAGCTTGGTTTTGATTATATGTAAATGAAAGTAAGTTAAGGAACTTTTTGGCATGTAAGCTAATTGAACAACGATTGTTTTGTAATAATATGTGTTTAGCTGGAACGATAAATTACATGACATGAGGAAATTAAGAAACAAATTCATACCTAAGTTAGCTTAAGAGAACCCGAGTATCCCATACTTATTATGTTAATTGCATTTCGAATACAAGTCAATGTCGGTAATACTTATGACCTTTCTAGGCCCCGGGTCGTGGGTGTTACAAATTTTATCAATCTAACAAGCATGTATATCACACGTGCTAGAGATTTTTAACTTTCTAGATTATATTTAAGGGCTATTTTGTCATTTCATAACTATCGGAGATGTTTTGGCCATTTCACAACCTCTATAATGTTTCAACGAGCGATCGTTTCTTCTTCCTATTTAACCGAAATTAAATTAGTCTTCATCGAGGTTGAAAAAGTCAAAACCGACCCCAAAAAATTGCTTCGATCATTTCACTCTCCGATACGAGTTTAATCTACTTGAAAGATTTTAATTTACTTAATTCATAGATTATTTTTTACTAAAGTCAATATGGTTTGTCACCTCTATAGTTCTTATTTGGCTACCAATATGAGCATTTGAAACTAAACGATTTTAATTTACTTGATTCATAAATTATTTCTTATTGAATTATAATATTATTGTTGGATATTGAAGTGTGATTGATATACATCATTGTGTATCCCATTCGAAAGGATCGAATATCCTAGGTATTTTGAAGAGTCTTAAGGTCGGTGATCAATGTTCCGTAATGGAGTTAGGAGGACTCGAAAATGGGTTTTACTACTAATGGTTTATTCAAAATAAATGCCAACTCCAATATGTACAATAACATGTTTGATTGCTTTTGTGTTCTAATGAATTAAATGTGAATGCTTAAGTTATTATATGATTTGTGATATGGTTGAAATAGCAAGAAACTTGCCATTTTCATTTTATTTGAATGATTTGTAATATGGCTATAGTTGCATAGGACTCGTCATTTTTGTCCGATTTTAATGATTTATGATATGGTTGTAGTCGCAAAGACTCGTTATTATATTTGAATGATTTGTGATATGGCCGCACTCATAAGAGACTCATCATTTTTTTTAATGATTTATGTTTGGTCGTAGTTATAAGGAACTTGCCATTGTGTTTGAATGATTTATGATATGGCTCGCAATCGTAAAAGACTCGTTATTTAATTTTAATGATTTTTATATGATTAAAATTGCAAGGGGCTCACCTTTTTATGGTGATTTGAATGATTTTTGATATGGCTTTAGTGCAAAGGACTCGTCTTTTTTGTGGTGATTTCAATGATTTGTGATATGGTCGTAGTCATAAGGGACTCGTTGGTTATTGTGATTTCCATTTGCTTCAATATTTGAATGATTTTTTATTTTGTATGAAAGAAAATTGTAAATGGCTTTCCACTTATGTGAACTAAGTTGCTAATGATCCCTCCCTATCTCTCTAATTGTGTTAATCAAAGTTATCGGTGACTATTTATTTGTATGAATAAAGTCATCGGTAGCGTTTAATTATGTCAATATGGACTTATAATCCTACGAGCTTAACTATTTACCAACATAAGTTTGTAGTCGGTTAAGGATCCGCTACAATGTCAATTTCTACACCCTTTTCCATTAAAGTATAGGCATAGGCCTTTGATCGACCTTAACCCTAAATTACTCAATTAATTTATCTTCATAAAATGAATTTACTCAAGTAGGCATAGTTTCAATACATAATAGAACAAGACTTTAGTTTTTACTCGCATACAATACAGACTTACCTCAAGTAGGACATAGTGGCAACAATTTGTATCTTCCCTACTCATAACTAACTCCTTACCTAGATATTTGTGTAGATCATTTTATTTTAGGATTTCTTAGTTCTTTTACTTACTAGATGGAATCGTCCGCATTACAAACCCCCGTCGATAATAGAGAATATTTGACCAACAAATCCACATATTACCTCCTTTAATGATTTTTACACTTTTTGAGCTATCATTTGTTTTAGTCTAGCATCCTTAATGACACCCTTGAGTTCAATCATCCAGCCATCCTTTTTTAAAGACAATTTCATGTTAATGAGATCAAATAGAATAGAAGAATGCACACCTTAAGCCAATCCACTCTTACCTAGATATTTGTGTAGATTAGTTTTATTTTAGGATTTCTTAGTTCTTTCAATTACTAGATGGCGATTTTGCCCGCACTACAAGCCCCCGTCGATAAGTGGAGAATATTTGACCAACAAATCCACATATTGCCTCCTTTAATGATTTTTACACTTTTTTAGCTGTCATTTGTTACAACCTAGCCTCCTCGGTGATACCCTTGAGTTCAATCATCCCGTCATCCTTTTTGAAGACAATTTCATGTTAATGAGATCAAACGGAATAGGAGAATGCACATCTTAAGCCAATCCACTCTTAGTATCATATCATAACCATCCAATTTCAACACCCTCAAATCAACCTTAAACTTATGCTCTGCATAAACCATGTTAACTTAGGGCTACGTGGTTAACACCTCATGATATCTCCATTTGCCATCGTAAGAAAAAGAATGGTGGTTTTTTCAATTATAGTATTGATTTCTTTAATAATCTTCGAATCAATGAAATTGTGTGTACTTTTATTATCAATTAATATAATAATCTCTTTTCGTCGGCAATTATCATTAATTTTGATGGTATTATTAGCATACTTCATAACTAAAGCATGTAGCAATATCTCACATTCTTCATAATTTCGCCTTTCACTACTTCTCTCGTTTCATCACCATCCTCTACATCCACAAATTCTTCTTCAACACCCTCCAATAAACGTAATGATTTCTAGGAACACTAATGACTAAGAGAATATTTATCCCCATACCTAAGCATAACCCTAATATTTTTATTTGATCTTATAATGTTTCTAGTTGTGTTTTTGAAATGCCGGAGTTGATAGGTTCATGTCTTGATGGTACAATATAAGGCTTGAGGAATTGATTCATATATGGATAGTTAAGGTTATATCCGTAATAAACTTTTAGTAGGGATCTTTTGGTCATAGCATTGATGGACTCTTCCTTCCATTTAGCTTGGTGAAAAGCTTGAGTCAAGATCGTAGGTTTTAGACTTTTGAGTATAGGTTTGATATCCTCTCTAAACCCAATAATAAAAGTAAAAAATAAAATAGGATTGAGGCATGTAAGGATTAGTTACAATCATCAATGATTTCAATTCCTCAATTTTATCTACATAATCATCTATCTCTTTTTCTTGACTAAATTTATTGAATTCCTCCACAACATCATCTCTACTACCAAATCTCCTAACCTTATATCTATTTTTCCCTCCAAGTACATAGAAGCAATTTCCAACCATTGATGAACCGAAATAAAATTCATCTTAAAGAACTTCTTACACTTACGAATTGATCCACGTGGATTTTTTCCCTCCAAATAGTGACAAATCTACTTTAAGTATGGTTGTATTATAACTAGATTTCAAGAATTCGGGAGCAAAAATAGGCTCATTTGGAACATGGTTCATGATTTCTTAACAAAGTGAGTGTTTAAGAAGAAAAAAGAGAAGAAAGAGAAGAGAGAGAATCTGTTGAATAGATTACTCAATTTACGGTAAAGTTATTACATGAGAAAAACATTTTACCGTCTATTATGACTTATAGTTCTCTCCACGTCGGCATTCGGTTGCTAAGTACCCTAAAAGATGAATTACAAGACTTGTGACAAGGATTTATTTTCTTATTTAGTATTAGATCATAATTTATTTGTATGGTTTTTATTTCAAAAATTGTCTAGTTAAGATTTTCTTTTTAGATTTTGATTTCTAAAAACGGTTTAGCTTGTGAATCCGTACGGAACAAATAGTTCTACTGCCATGACTAGTACATACGAGGGATCCCAAATTATAATTCTTTGGTCACACTTTTTGATTTTCTCTATAATTTATTTTCATTTACAACTTTATATTTTATTTAATACTTGTTTTTCTTTACCGTCTTTTTTAAGTGTAATTTTATCCCTAATTGTCATAGGTTTAGGTTTTCTAAAAAAAAAAAAAACTTTTAGTGGTTTGTTAGTTTATTCTATCTAAAAGTCTGTTTTTATTCCATTCTCCAATTGATTGAGTGCGATATGGTTATCTTCTACGCACTAGAGTTTCGTTGCAATTAATGTATTAATATTCAAAGATATGATATCGATAGCGTGTAAGTTGCTAAAAATGCAAGTTGCAAATAACAGCAAAACTAGAATGGTAGGCTGTCTGAATTGTGATTTGGCTGATCCCGGAAAGTATAGTGTGAATGGAATTGGGGAAGTTGACCCACAAACGCGTGAAGAGAATCTTAAATCTCTGTATTTTGGGGAAGTTGACCCACGAACGCGTGAAGAGAATCTCAAATCTCTGTATTCTATCCATTCACACTGTACTTTCCAGCCAAATCACAATTCAGACAGCCTACCATTCTAGTTTTGCCGTTATTTGCAACTTGCATTTTTAGCAACTTACATGCTATCGATATCATATCTTTGAATATTAATACATTAATTGCAACGAAACTCTTCCACAGAATCATAGATCCCATAAACAGTAACCTAGCTTAGTCTTTCTTTTTTCTTTCTGGTTACATCCTGGCTTGGTTACTTTTAATTTTTTGTTTTTTTAAAAAAAACACTTCTTAGTCTAAATCTAACCATGGTAGCTCATGCCTAAAGTCAATGACTATTAACTAATGCCACATGCATCCATATGGTTTATCATTATCATCATTATCATCATATGTAATTTGGACTGAGAAGTGCAAAAGGTCCATTAGACAAGTTCATACATGTAATGTTTTTGTGTTGACGTAGCTAGAATGGTGGCATACTGTGGTGGGGTCTAGCATTAGCATCAGCTAAATTAGCTTGAATTTATTTATCAAATTTGTTTTTGGTCCTAGGAATACATCTTTATGGCTGTACTGGATAGATTACAGACAGTGGCCAAAATATGTTTTTGTCATCATTCAGTAAGCTGAAAGTCAAATTCCGTTTGCTGAGTCAAGGTTCAGAGTGTCAAACTTTTCTCTGCATGTGATCATCCTTCCGCAATGTCTAGCCGAGACTTAGTTTCTTTTGTTTTTTTGTGAAGAATCAAGACTCTAGTTTCCCATTGGCTAAGACCTGCGGGCTCATAGTTTGCCTTTCTGTATTTACGAGCTTCGTTTAGCTCAAGCCTTTCATATCAGTTTCAAGCATTAATTTTATGTAGCAATGGTGTCTCAAAATGTTGCTGGTTTATGCACCTTCTTCATGCTTTGTTCTGTTCTGCTTACTACTGCTCAATCTGCAGAACCAAGCTTAGAAGCTGAAGTTGAAGCCTTGAAGGCTTTCAAGAATGCCATCAAGCATGATCCATTAGGAGCACTTGCTGACTGGAGTGAAGCAAGCCATCACTGCAACTGGTCTGGTGTTGCCTGTGACCATTCCTCGAATCAACTCATTCAGATTTCTCTAGAGGGGATGCAGCTCCAAGGCGAGCTATCTCCCTTTCTTGGCAACATTTCAGGCCTCCAGGTTCTTGATTTAACTTCAAACTCATTCACAGGGCACATTCCAACTCAGCTGGGACTTTGCTCCCAGCTGATCGAACTTGTTCTTTATAACAATTCCTTTTCAGGTCTTATTCCAGTAGAACTAGGAAACCTTAAAAATTTGCGGTCTCTAGATTTAGGTGGTAATCGTTTGAATGGAAGCATTCCTGAAAGCATTTGTGACTGCACCTCCTTGCTACAGTTTAGTGTCGATTCCAACAATCTGACTGGCACAATACCAAAACACATAGGGAACTTGGTTAACCTGCAACTTTTTGCAGCTTATGGGAATAACTTGGTCGGTTCCATACCTATTTCCATCGGAAGGTTGCAGGCTTTGCAGGTTTTAGACCTGAGTCAAAACTACTTGTCTGGGTTAATACCTCGAGAAATAGGGAACTTGTTGAGCTTGGAATTTCTTCTCTTGTTTGAGAACTCCCTTGCTGGGAACATCCCTTCTGAACTAGGTCGTTGCGAGAAGCTTGTTGAACTTGAATTGTACATCAATCAGTTCAGTGGAGTCATTCCCCCAGAGCTAGGAAATTTGATCTATTTGGAGAAATTGCGATTGTACAAAAATGGGCTAAATTCAACCATTCCGATCTCCTTGTTCCAGTTGAAATCCTTAACCCACTTAGGACTATCAGAGAATATGTTAAGTGGAAGAATAGCTCCTGAAATAGGATCTTTGAGGTCATTGCTGGTGTTGACACTGCATTCAAACAACTTCACTGGGGAAATTCCTGCCTCCATAACAAACCTATCAAATTTAACATACTTGTCTATGGGCTCCAATTTCCTCACAGGAGAGATTCCTTCAAATATCGGAATGCTTTATAATCTGAAGAACCTTAGCCTTCCTGACAACCTCCTCGAGGGATCCATACCCATAACTATCACCAATTGCACCCATCTTTTGTATATAGACTTATCTTTTAACAGAATAACTGGGAAACTTCCACAGGGTTTGGGACAGTTGCATAACCTAACAACTGTATCCCTTGGGCCAAACCAAATTTCAGGGGAAATACCAGAAGACCTTTATAATTGCTCCAATCTTATATTATTAAGTTTAGCAGAGAACAATTTTAGTGGAATGCTAAAACCAGGCATTGGCAAACTCTACAATCTCCAGGTTTTGAAAGCTGGGTTCAATTCATTTGTAGGGCCAATCCCACCAGAAATTGGAAATTTGACTCAACTTTTCTTTCTAGTACTTTCTGGAAATAGCTTTTCAGGCCATATTCCACCAGAGTTCTCCAAGCTTTCTCTACTCCAAGGGCTTGGCCTGAATGGCAATGCTTTAGAAGGTGCAATACCTGAGAACATTTTTGAACTGACACGTCTAACTGTTCTACGGCTGGAGCTCAACAGGCTCACAGGTCCGATTTCAACTTCTGTCTCCAAACTGGAAATGCTTTCAGTCTTGGACCTCCACGGAAACATGCTTAATGGGTCTATTCCAACAAGTATGGGACATCTCATTCGACTAATGTCTCTTGATCTCTCTCACAACCATCTTACAGGGTCAATCCCTGGATCTGTAATGGCAAATATGAAAAGCGCGCAGATATTTCTAAATTTGTCATACAATCTCTTAGATGGTAACATTCCACGTGAGCTCGGAGGGTTGGAAGCAGTACAAGCCATTGATCTTTCAAACAACAATCTTTCAGGAATCATTCCTGAAACACTTGCAGGCTGCAGAAATTTGTTCTCTCTTGATCTTTCAGGAAACAAACTCTCTGGTTCAATCCCAGCTAAAGCTTTTGTTCAAATGAGCATGCTTGCACTCTTGAATCTTTCCAGGAATGATTTGAATGGTCAGATCCCCGAAACGTTGACAGAACTGAAGCATCTAAGCACCCTGGACCTTTCTCAAAATCAGTTGGAGGGCATAATTCCTCATAGCTTTGGCAACGTTTCGAGCTTGAAGCATCTTAACCTGTCTTTCAATCATCTTGAAGGCCGTGTTCCCGAGTCTGGTTTATTCAAAAGCATCAGCTCATCTAGTTTGGTTGGCAACCCTGCTCTCTGTGGAACCAAATCTTTGAAGTCCTGCAGCAAGAAGAATTCACATGCCTTTTCCAAGAAGACAGTATTGATCGTCCTTGCACTCGGAGTGGTGTCCGTATTTTTAGTTCTTGCTCTGGTGATTGCAATATTCGTCCACCGTGCCAAAAAGCGAAAAACAGTAAGGACTGAGATTACGGAGCCAGAGTTCACTCCAGCATTGAAACTCATTCGGTATGACCGCAATGAAATAGAAAATGCTACAAGTTTCTTCAGTGAAGATAACATAATTGGCGCCAGCAGTTTGAGCACTGTATACAAGGGCCAATTGGAAGATGGCAAGACTATAGCTGTTAAGCAACTGAATTTGCAGCAGTTCTCTGCAGAATCTGACAAGTGCTTCTATAGAGAAATCAAAACATTGAGCCAACTTAGGCATAGGAATCTGGTTAAGGTGCTTGGGTATTCCTGGGAGAGTGCTAAACTGAAGGCTTTAGTTCTGGAATACATGCAGAATGGGAGCTTGGAGAGCATCATACATGACCCTACGGTTGATCAGTCAAGGTGGACACTGTATGAGAGAATCAATGTTTGTGTTTCAATTGCAAGCGCTCTAGAGTACTTACATTTTGGTTACGACTTTCCAGTCGTACACTGTGACTTGAAGCCCTCTAACATTCTGCTGGATGGTGACTGGGTGGCTCATGTGAGCGACTTTGGAACAGCTCGAATTCTGGGAATTCATCTGCAGGATGGAAGCAGCCTTTCCACATCGTCAGCTTTTGAAGGCACCATTGGCTATTTGGCACCAGGTAATCTTTCACTCCCCTCCATGATTATAGAGCTCAAGTCCACCTTCTTTTGCGTATCAAGATCGCCAAAAACATTTCCACCTGAAAAGTTATTATATCAATGAATCTAATAGTTTCAAGAATATAACAAAAAGTCCCATACAAAAACTGCATTTATCTTTGTTGCAACTTGCTGGCCTTGCTATTCGTATCCAAAGCCAAAATGGTCCAGCTCGTGGCTATTAATTACCAACTAATCCACCCCTTAATTATTGTTAGACCTTCTTTATCTTGGGCATTCATAGAGTTTTCTCATAAATGTTAATAAGTAGTTGAGATTATCCATAAGATGGTTTAGTCCAGTAATAACAATAGTTTAATTGGAGGCACAAGTCTAGTGATTAAATCAATCATTGCCTTGCCAATCCCATTTCAAAATTATCTTGGTAAAACATGTTCGTTTGCAATTTAAAGTGTATAACTTTATGTTTTCCATTTTCAGTCATGTTTTGCCATATCTTCCATCTCAAATATCCTCTCTCTTTATATGCTTCCGACTTCACTGCAACATGCTGATGTTCTTACAGAGTTTGCATACATGAGGAGAGTGACACCTAAAGTAGATGTATTCAGCTTTGGGATTGTAGTATTGGAGTTCCTCACGAAACGGAGGCCAACAGGACACGCAGACAAGGATGGATTGCCGATCAGTATACGTCAACTAGTCGAAAAAGCCCTTGCCAATGGCATCGAAGGACTTCTTCAAGTACTGGACCCATTGATCACTATGAAAGTCACCGTGGAGGAAGAAGCATTGAAGCAGGTCTTTGAAATAGCCTTGTTGTGCACCAATCCAAATCCCGAGGATAGACCTAACATGAATGAGGTGTTGTCTTCCCTTCAGAAGATAAGTGCAAGATAATCTGAATTGGCAGTGATGTCACTCAAGCAACAGCATGTTAGAGAACAAACGGTTTGCTGAATTTTAAAGAAGAAAGGAGGACTGCAGACTCAATTACACAAGCGAATCCTTCCACTACAATTACTGATAATATGTAATATTGTTCTTAATCATGTCAAAATACAATTGTTCTGTTATAATGGCATATGAATTCAAGGTTTAGATATTTCCAGTTGACAAATTTATCCAGAAACAATTTTTTGATCTATCAAGTATAGCAGTTTAGCTTAAAAGCTATCATGAGAGTTGAGACTATTATTCACAGAAAAATATTATATTGACAAAACCCGAAGGTAAGTGCAGCAGTAAATGTAACTATCCCTCTGTGAGTGTGTATATATATATATATATAGATATAGATATTAAAACAGTGATTTGACAATCTTTGTGTGTGTATGTGTGTGTATATATTAAAAACACAGAGAGTGTAAACAACTCAGTTATTCAAAACATCAGTTATATTATAGCATTCTGAAATCAACATTGAATACACAGAATCAATACATATAGCAAAGGAAAACATGATGAACGACAGCCAAAAAAAAGAACCATTCTCATATAATTAAACTACTCCATGACAAAATTCCTGCATCACCATTAATGACAAACCTCACCTAGGAGCTACAGATCATATTTTGCTAATAAATTCAAGTTAGAAAAAAAAAAAAAAGAAAAGTCTTCAATCTTTATTCTCCTGGTGGATCAAGCTTCAAAAACTCTTCTACAGTTGAAGGGAAATCCAAGCCGCCACCACCATCAGCACCCTCTAGCTCAATAGCAGCCTTACCCAGAAGCAAAAAAGCCAGCCTCAAAGGCTCCCTCGTCTCCTCTCCACCATCACCATCCCCATCCCCATCCCCTAAAAAGTACCTAATCCACCCCTCCAATCTCTCCACTTCCTTTTCACACTTAGGCCCTTTAACTCCAACAATCTTTTCGAAAAACCCACCTTCACATCCACAACACTCACCACCACCAACACAAACCCTCTCATTGTCTTCTTGTTGTATTTGGTTTCTTTCTCTAATATCTGATAAACCCAAAAGCCGAATTAATTGTTGAATATCATCAATGTCATCGGTTTTGGATTCTTTGATGGTATTGCGGTCATAGTGGGAGGTTTTTGGAGATGATTGTAAAGAAAGTGAGAGAAATTCTAGGGGGGTTCACTGCTTTCTTCATTAAAAGAGACTAAGATGTTGTTAATGGGTTCTTGGTCTGTGTGGAGATATATAGGTGTGCTTAGGGATTCTGTGTAGTTAGTTTCCAATGTTGTTGGGTTTTCAAGCTTCAATCTTTTCTCAACCTGCAAAAATATAGGATGACAAAGATTACTAATTTATGTTGTTTTCAGATGTCAAGTGTGTAATTAAATTTATTTACCTGTCTCAGAGAGGAGAAGAAATTGGAGTGCACAGATGGTGCCGCCATTTTTTTGGGATTCATTTGCTCTTTCTTAAGTTCTAATTGAATTGATTTCAAAGGCAAAAGGCAAGGCTTCTCTCTTCATTCTCTCATAAAAGAGACATTGACTTGTCACTACTCACCGTCTTCTTCTTTCAAATTTTAACTTAATGAGGTGTAAGGGTGATTAAAAGTATTTGTTCTTTATATATATATATATATATATATAAATTTGTTTGTGTTATAAAATAAATAGAAATAATGGGAGAATTGAAGAAAATAATGACAAAAAAATGAAATCACTATAATATGAATATAAGTGATAAGAACTTCAAAGTTTCTCTTATTCTCTCTAAGAAACTTATACACCAACTAATGAACAATCAAACATATTTATAGGCTTCAAAATTAAAGAGAGAATTGGAAGGAACTATGAATAATCAATTGCATCACCCTTTCAATTTCTCATATTGAATGATGAATTGAATCATATTAAGAATCATGAGTAGTAGGGATATGAAAAGTTGATGAACATGATGATGGACATTCATTATTTCATAACACTCCCCTCGAATGTACATTGTACAAGGAACATGCCTCGTTAAAACCTTACTAGGAAAAAACCCAATGGGAAAAAAATCCTAGTGAAAGAAAAAAAGTACAATATTTCTTGCACACATTAATCCTCATTTTGGTCTCCTCCTGTTGAAGGCATTATTTAAGATCTCTAAGATGACGCATTTCAATCTTGTGAATCATCTTTTCAAAAGTTGTTGGATTGTCACTTTGATGTGTTCTTCCTTTAATTGAATTATGCAAGCGACATTATCCTCATATGATATTGTTGGAACTTTTTACTCGGTAAATAAATGCATGTCTCTCGGATACGATGGATCATTGATCTTAGCCAAACACATTCTCGACTTGCCTCGTCAATTGATATTTACGCATGATTTGAAGATGTGGCGGCTATAGTTTGCTTTATGTAACACAAACATATAGCTGAATCTCCATACGTAAATATATAACAAGTTGAGATCGAGCTTTGTGTAGATCGGATAAATAACTCGCATTTGCATAACCAATTAATATTGTCTTTGATTTATTGGAGTAATATAAACCCATATCAATTATTCCTCGAAGATAACATAGTATATATTTAACTTTATTTCAATGTCTCTATATTGAAACGGAACTATGACTTGCTAACAAATTTATAGAAAAGACTATATCGGGTCGAGTATTATTAGCAAGATACATCAATGCACCAAGTAGCACTAAAATATGGTACTTCGGGACCAAGTAGTTCTTCGTTATCTTTTCGAGGTCGAAAATGGTCTTTTTAGATATCAAGTGAATAAACTACCATTGGGTTAGTCAATGAATGATCTTTACATAGAATCATTATAGAACCTTTTTTGATATAAATTGATTGATGAATGAAAATCTCATTCTCCGAGTGCTCGAATTGCGAGTCGAGATAACATTTTATTTTTTCAAAATATTCACATCAAATTCCATTTTTTTAGGTAACTTATGACACTTGGAATCTCTTCGGAAGTTTCAATAATATTTAAGTTATCAACATATAAAACAAACCTCTTTTTAAATAAAAACATATGAACAAATATGGTTATTTTTTATAACTTTCTTTCAATAAATAATCATTGAAGTGATTATATCACATGCACAAGGGTTAGTAATAAGCGATAAATATAAAAATAAAATATAAAAAGTATAAATTGAAGTTCTAGAAATCAAAATAATAAAACAAATACTAAAATAATCCTAATAGAGATCTCTATAATTTAATTAAATTCTTTTCTCGAGAATATGTATTACATGCTTCGGCATGTTAAGTCCTTCTAGGACTTTCATATCGATATCATTCCAAATAAATTATGATCACATTTATTAAATACATACATATGAATGTTTTTCATATATTTTTTCAGAGCTAATGAGATAATAAAAAATAATTACATCCATTATAGGAGAATATGTCTCCTCATAGTCAATGCCAATTCTTTACAAAAACTCTTGTATTGAAGGTTTTGCTTTGTATCTTACAATCTCATCTTTCCTATTTCATGTTTGCATAAATACTTATTTTTATCGCATTAGCTTAACATCTTCGGGTGTTTTAACTATGAGTTCAAAAAATTACTCTTTTGTAGAAGAACATAATTCTGTCTAGATTGCTCTTTTCATTTAGCCCAATCATCTTTATGTCGACATTTTCAATAATTTAGGCTCGGGATCCTTATTTTCATCCATAATATCAATTGCAATAGTATGTGCAAAAATCTTATCAATAGATGTTTCTTTTCGGTCCTATTTTCTCCCCGCATTGATATAATTTATCAAAATCTCTTGATTTTTCTCAAATATTTAGACTTCTTCTAGAAGCCTATTATCGAAATATATTGGACCATTTTGTGAATATTTTCATCTTGCCCTTTTCTTTTAGGGATTTTTATCTTTAGAACCGATCGATCTTCCACGCTTCGGGCGTGCTTTAAATTTGTTAGCTATAATATTAATAGATTGTCCTTCTAGGACATCAATTCTAACAAAAGCATTCTCAACAAGGACATGCATTTTATTTACTCTTTTAAGATATGAGAATACATCTAGTAGTTGGTTTATAATACCTTGTAAACGAATTATCTTGTGAACTTCTAGTTCACATTGTTTTGTACCAAATTGATATAAAGATAGAGTACTCCATGTAATATCTTTTTTTCAATATTTTCAATCGCTTATTTTGTTTATTCTCTCCCCTAATGTTGAAAAAAATATTTCATCAAAATGACAAGTCGATAGATCAAGCTCGTAAAAATACCTCTTGTTCATGAATCAAAAGATCGAAGAGGATTCAAATCCAACATATATTCTCAATCTCCTATAGGTGCTCATTTTATTTCGTTATGGAAGAGCACTAAGGATATACACTGCAATGCCAAAAATTCTTAAATAAGAAATAATTGACTCATGACCATAAATCAATTAAAGAGGAGAGAATTTCGATAACTTATGGGTCCGATGCGAATAAGTGTTGCTGCATATAAGATTGCATATCCCTCAACATAAACAGAGAGTTTTATTTTAAATAATAGTTTAGCTATCAATTGAAGCCTTTTGATAAATGATTTTGCTAAATCTTTTTAAGTATGAACATGAGCAACAGGATATTTAACCTTTATTTTAATAGCCAATCAATAATAATTTAATGCTTGAGAAATAAATTCATCGACATTATCAAGGTGACTTGTATTAATGGCATAATTTGAAAATTATGTTCGAAATCAAATTATTTGCTAGCAATCTCGAAAACGTAAGGTTTTGAGTAGATAATAAGTATATATGTGACCATCTTGTGGATGTATTTATCAACATCATAAAATATTTAAATTATCCATATGGTGGATGAATTGATCCATGTATATCACCTTGAATATATTCTAAAATACTGGAGATTCAATCTCAATTTTATTTGATGATGGCTTAATCATCAATTTGCCTTGGCAACATGCGAGACATAAAAGTTCATTAAATTGAAGAATCTTTTAGCTCTTTAATAGATGTCCATATGAATTTTTAATAATTTTTCGCATCATGAAAGACCCAAGATAGCACAAATGGTAATGTCACATAATAAAAGTATTTGAATTAGTAAACTTTTGGTTTACTATAATATTTGTTTCAATCATTTCAATGTTTGTAATAAAGACTAGAAGAGAAAATGGATAAATTTTTTTAATAGATATTTTCTACCCGTTATAATGATTATAACATATAAGTATCCACATTTGCTATCTTGATATGATATCAATTTAGATGAATATCTTTGAAACTCAACAAATTTCTATGAGACTTTGAAGATAATAGTACATCATTCATAATAAATTTATTCTTTCGGATAATAACATATTTGCTCTTTTGGAGCCTTTAAATTATGTTACTGTAAGCAATAATATAACGACTCTTCTAGAGCCTTTAAAAGTTATCTCTTCAAGTAATAATATATTCACTTTTCTAGAGTCTTTAAAAGTTATCTCTTCATGTAATAATATATTTGCTCTTCTAGAGTCTTCAAAATTTATCTCTTTAGATAATAATATAATCGCTCTTCTGGAGCTTTTTATTACATTGATATTATCATATACAATATTAATATAAAATAAATAATCAAATAAATCAATACAAAATAAATAAATCAATATATTCCTCATAAACACAAACAAATAAATAAATAGTAAAATAAATTTATAACCATCAATATATGACATAAATTATAAGAAATATAAAGCATTTTATTTATAAATAGAAAAGCTAACAAGTAATTAATTTCAATTACTATTACTTTGATATATAAAAGTGATATTCATATTTTACTCTTTATTTTTCAATAAGGCTTGACAAGCCTCAATAAGATGCTTCGGTATACGACGAGTACACAACTAATGTCCATTCATACCATATTTATAACATTCATTTTCGAATGTCGACTTTATCTATTTTCATTCTTTTTTTTTTCATAGTTATCCACTTCGGTGATAAGATGTCATATTATGGTCATCACAATTATAATGATAATTATTTTGACAACATCCATGGCTATGACTACATCTTCGTCCATGCCTAAAAATATTATAAATTGTCACATTCATTTCGGGGAATGGAATAGATCCAATTGGATGCTATTTATTTTTTTCATCAATAGCTTTTCATTTTATTTAGCCATGAGCAAATATGAAATCGATTTAGAATATTTCTTAAACTCTTTTTCTTGATATGCTACTGCAGGAGCATATCCAAGACCTAAAAAGTAGATAATATTTTTTCAAAATCAAGCACTCATAATCAATAATTCTTATTCAAAATATCAAGAGTCACCAAATCAAGTTTTTGAGATTTGATGTGATAAAAATTCTATAATACAATATATAATAATAATAATAATAGAAAATAAGAACAAATATAATAATAAAATTAAAGCTTTTCAAATAACATATATTAGATCATTTTAAGTTTTTCAAATATATATTTCATGTATCAATAGATTTAAAGTATATGAATAAATTAAATACATACCTCTTAATGGTCTAAATAATTTAGATCTTTTGGTAGAGCACTTATGTAGAAGAAATTCAATTGTTGAAACAATTGATTAAATCTTTTGGTAGATATATACCTCATGGTCTATTGTCTCGATTGGTTAGAGCTTCGTGTCGATAACGTGTTATAAAATAAATAGAAATAATAAGAGAATTGAAGAAAAGGATGACAAGAAAATGAAATCACTATAATATGAATATAAGTGATAAGAACTTCAAAGTTTCTCTTATTCTCTCTAAGAAACTTATACACCAACTAATGAACAATCAAGCCTATTTGTAGGCTTCAAAATTGAAGAGAGAATTGGAAGGAACTATGAATAATCAATTGCATCACCATTTCAATTTCTTATATTGAATGATGAATTAAATCATATTAAGAATCATGACTAGTGGGGATATGAAAAGTGGATGAACATGATAATGGACATTCATTATTTCATAACGAGTTTGACATTAATTAGAAATTTTATTAAAAATTTTGTGAATATATATATATATATATATATATATATATATATATGGAAGATGGGTTTCTTATAAAAAGAATTTAATCTCAATTGACCGACATTTTATCCAAAAAATATCTTCTCCTTTTTTATTATTTTTTATATATTTAATTATTTAGATAGGTAGTCCTTCATATCATCCAGAAAAGAATTTAATCAAATTTAATTTTCAATTCCAAAAAATACATCTAGAGTCATATTTAGAAGAAAAAATATTTTCCTTTTTTATTATTTTTATATTTTATATGGAATAATGCTCAATTCATGAATTGAACAACCTTGATCGCATCTTGGCCATCTGAACTTGACAAGCCTTGATGGGTGCTGTTGAGAGTTACAGAACTGCTGGTAGATCCCTCAGTGTTGTCACTGACCCAATCTATCCAGGTGGAAGCATTGACCCATAAGACTTGGCTGACGACCCAGAGGCATTTGCTCTGTTCTTCATGTTCGGATTCTTGGTCCAAGCCGCTGGCTGACCCCGTCAACAACGCCGCCTGAGCACACGCCACCCGGTTCGTCCTCGCAAAATGAGCTACAAGGATCATTTTTCTGTGTTTGGATTGTTGGCTTGTAACGTAAAGTTGTGTTTACGTGAATCTCGTATTCTTGTGTGCTAAAAGTGCACTCTTATGGTCATTTCCTCCTCTCTTTTTTTTTTTTCTTCTTTTTCGAAGGACACGTTATTGGAAACCACGTTTTTAGATCGAGCTGGAAAAAGCCATCCATTTACCAAATCAAAATTACTGAGACTAATGAGATAATTGTGCAAAATGGAGCAAAGATAAAACATAAGCAATAAATACAAATTTGCCAAAGTTTTAATAGTGAATTTTCTGATGTATGTAATCATATCCTATGGTATTAAAGTACACAGTACAATGAAGGTATGTAAGAAAGTCAATTTGATACAAGAACCTAGCTTATATCAACTATAATAGAGGGTTATATGATTCTTTCTATGAAACAAATGAATGGTCTAATATAGAAACTTCTGTTAGCATCAGAAACTCTCTCAAGATGTACAGGTGCTTGTTAGCTGGGTTGCCTAAAATGTAACTCTAAATTCCATCCCTGAATGAAACCTGACTGAATTGCATCTCCACAACCTCCAAAGGAATCGTAAATTAGGACCACCTGTTCTTACCATCATCATGCTCGACTTGCTGCTGCCCTTGCTCTGGCCACTGACTTCAGGTAAAGTTCCTCATATTGCTCTGCTGAAGACTCCCAACTGAAATCTATGTTCATGTCCTTCTGAACAAGCTGCTGCCAGACCTCGGCATTGTTTCGATAGTAGTTAAATGCACGATCTAAAGCACTGTTTACTCCCTGAGAAATTTAGCAACGCATTAGGAAGCATTAGAATAAGAAACAACCTAAACGAAAGCTTTCGCTAAGAGTTTGACAAAAATTCAGGGCAGGGATGGAAAATATAAAGGTTCATGATGAATTCTAGATTTATGGCAGCTGGCGAAGTGCTGCTTCACTTGGTGGGAGCATTGAATTGCTAGCTCAAAGCCTCAGGCAGATGCCAAATGGAAAGCATGAATGAGATACAACTAAATCTGCAGCTCTAGTTATTTACATGTTCATCAGGGGTCAAGAATGTAAAGCCATTTCGAAATTGGAGAGGCACAGTATCATCATCAACATCAAAGACACTGCAGAATTAAAACCAAACATCAGTGCAGTGATGCTCTAACCATAACAACATCAGATCATCGCTGGAATTATGTCTGAAATCGAGTACCCTACCAGTCATTTAGACCACCAGTCTTTCTTGCAATTGGTATGGAACCATATCTCATTGCTATCATCTGTGAAAAGAAAAGAAAAAAGCATGAAGAAAAAGTTCAATTGTCTGCAACTGCATTTATATCTGATAATGGTATGATCAAACAGTGGTGTTGGTTGTTGGTTGAGAGAATCTGCAGGATGGGAAAGGGGTCTGTTACGTAGCCCAAAGCCCACTCAACGAATAAAAGATACAAACATTTGGCTTACATACATACATCTGTGAAAGAAAAAGGAGAAGGCATTTGGTTGTAAGAATACTGATTAGTCATCCACAAAGTTTTAAGCCACAAAAAATTATTAACAAATTAGCTCATGTTTGCAAATTTCAGACATTCTTTTATGGGTTATATCGATGTCTCCATTAAGTATCATTCAATTAAAAATGAAAATAAATGCACTCTGGTTCTTTGACTTTCCAAAAAGAATTCAGGGAAGGGGTGTTGATCGTACCTGTGTTAAGCCACAAGGCTCAAAAATCGATGGGATGATAAAAAAGTCAGATGCTGCAAAAATGGAATGGGAGAGAGATTCATCATACTTCAGTATCAGTCGAATGTGATCATGATTCACAAAATGGTTTGCAATACCCTCGAATTCCCTCTACAAAATTAATAAGAAAATAAAATGTTATGAGTAAATTAAATTAAAGAAGATAAAATAGAGAAAGGAGCCAGAAAGAAAGATTAAAACCAGTGTTTCAGTGACAATGAAGGGCATTTTAATCCCAAAATTCAAAAGTCTAACTTCATAAAGATGATGAATCTCTCCCAATCAGGATGTTCCCACATAACTTTATAGGCATGAATGCTTATGACTATGCATTATTAATTGGACTCATTTTTCTTCAGAATACTATGTTTTCAGGATGCATTACAGATGCATACAACATAGAGTGTAAAAAATTTGGATGGTTATCAATGAATTCATAGCAAAAAGGGCAAACAGAGTGTCACCTGAATATGTGCAACTGGGCTTGAACCAAGAAGTACAAATTGTCCTCCCAGCTCCAGTGTTCGGTATATTGCATGCCTAATAAGGTGCACACCTTTCTGTGGCACCAATCTTGTTATGCAGCCTACCTATTCAATGAATATTGGAAGAATTTTAACAAAGCAGCACCATTATAAAGCAATGACATATTCAGGATGTTCCCTTCTAAAATATGATAGCATAGATATGCTAGACTAAGAAACTCCCTCCCAAATTTACTACCATATGATCTCGAGTACTCTTGGAGATAAAAGAGTGCTCATGATATTTCCAAGCAGACAATTTTACACAAGATGAATGTGGAGCCTGTTGACACAAGATCAAACTTAATTCACTTCCAATATAAATTGCAACGAGATGCCAGGCATAAAATCACAGGTTAATACTAAAGTTTGTAGTAAAGATGGCACTGTTCATCTCAATATTATCGACCACTCCCCAAGAAAAATAACAAAACAACATAAAGGGGAAAAAGAACTGGAGTTACATGCGGAAAAAATGTAAAGAGAAGGATGTAACAGAGAACTGAGAAGAGGTTTCTTCTCAAAAAAAAAAAAAAAAAAAAAAAAACAGAGAGAGAGATCTCCCAACCCCAAGGGCTTTAGTTAGGATCTCCTGATCGTTCTTCACCAGAGATAAAAGAAACAATAGCTAATCTGATTGTTCACAGTTGCTAATCCACAATATATATATATATATCCGTGGGATGGAACGTCTGTTGAGGAAGTTCTGTTGTTGACAAAATTTGGTCTCAGATATTTAACCCGTGTTCAGTGTACATTTTATCATAGGTGAAACATAGTACACTAACAGTATCAATGAGTAAGGTGACCCATACAATCTGGTCATACATTGACATAATATCATAGTAAAAGTGCTGAAATCTGATAGGAAAAGGTGCATTGTAATTAAATACTTTCAAAAGGAAAATAAAGGCAACACAATTCTTCTAAAGTAGGATTACCATTGGCTGCCTGACATCTACATTAGAGAGCCCAAGAAATTTTCTTAAAGCTATTTTATTTTCAGTTTTCCCATGAAGATCATTAGCATTATATTGAACTTTGAGAAAAGTATCAGCAGCAGGATTCCATGCGTCAACATCAATTCCATTCAGAATTCCAACAAACTTCTTGGAGTGAAAACTAAGAGTCGAATGGAGACCTCTCCCACCCTGTGAAAGACAAATTTGAGTTGTACGTAAAACCTTCAATGAAACCCAACAGCAAGGAGCAAAATTCAATAATAGAAAAAGTAAAACAATAAATGAGTTTATTTCACTTATCCAAGAAAAAGAAAAGAAACCTTCACTTCAAACAGACTGGCAGACTATCATATTTTACCTGGTCCATATCATTAGGCTTTATTCGAACATAGAAACCATGGCAAGAAAAACAAACTCATTAATTTGTGCCTTCACACGACTCAGATGAAGCAGCTTAGCCAAACCTGAGAATAAATCAGGAAGGTACTAGAAACTGGGATATTGTATTTGACAACAATATGGATATTTTTCATCAAAAAGACTGTAACTTGTGATGGTTTCCAGTTCCATCCGTCTCTCTCTCCCTCTCTTTCTTCCACACCTCGAACCCCTCCTACATAATCCTCCTCCTCTCACTTCCACCCTCTTCCCAATTCTAAAGTAACAGAAATATAAAGCTCCATCTTTTCCTATTTTCTGCAATGGGAGGCAGAATGGAGCAGGATTCTAATTGATGAGAATTTACAATAGAGATGAGTGATCATGATAAATAGGCACTTCAGTGCCAAGTTGTCACTGAATCTGTTAAACCGTTTAGTTCACATAGCGAATGGGCTCAAAGTTTCTGTGCATAATGGTAGATTCAGAAAGTCCATAGGTTTTATGAAGGGTAAAGATATAAATGAGATTCTTTCAATCGGTATTTTTGGTTCCTTTCGAAAGAAATGAACGAATTTGAGAAAGCAATCCACTCTCACCTCTTTGAAGGAATTAAAAGTCAAGTCATTGGTACGGCAATCAGAAAGGGACTTGTAAATGTTGTTTATTATTTTTTATTGTACTTGGTCCCCAAATTGGTTAAGTGAACTTAGGAGGCAGTCTATCTTTAATTGAGTGTGTGTGTGTAATTTGTAAAGAAAATCCTAAGCACCCTGCTTTTCAAGATGTCTTGCCCAATCTTAAAAGGCCATCCAGCCCATATGCAAATCTACTTGAGAGATTTTTTGAAAGAAAAGAAAAGGGAAGTTAGAAAAGCTCCATCATTTGTTGTCTGGTACAAGGCAACTTGCTATCACCTAGGTTGTGCTAATATTGAGTTTTATTGCAAAAAGAGTAACACAGTCATATGAACATGACAAAATGTGGAATGTCATTTTTAGAAAGTTAGCTATTACAGAGTTTTCCTTTCAACAGAAAAAAAATCAGGACATGGACCATGGGAAATAGTCTATACAAATATCCTTGAACTAAGTAAGTTCATGACTATATGGCTTATTGTACCATAAAATCATGAACTTTACATCTTTTAATCATTTTAATAAGTTCTTTCACAAATGGATGGAAAATACATGAACTAAGCTTCCAGTAATGATATTAGCATGGGAGGTTTTTTCTGTCCAAAATCTGATATGACGTTGCATGACATGTAGAATGCCAACATGGATTTCAATCCACATAGAATGACACGTGGCCAAAAAATTAAAATTAAGGCTGTTCGGATAACATGTCGCCAACTAATCACCTTCTTATTTCAAAAACAAATTCACAATCAATTCAAACCCTAAATCAAATTCTAAAAAATCCCTAATCTTTCTCCTCTCTGCCCAATGAGCAAGAACCCCTCTCTCCAACCACGAATCTTCAACAAGTACCCATTCCCTCAGCCCATCAATTGGTCGACGAAAGAGCAACTTACAGCAGAACAAAGTCGTTCAACGCAAGCAGTCGGACAAATACTACAAAGGTACAGCCCAAAAATACTATACTAGACATGGGAAAGCCACCGAACCACCTCCATCACTCAGCCCATCAACTGACCGGCTAAGCAACAAATGCAACGCTATCAATGTCCAATACTTTCTGGATAAAGTGCTTGGCGAACTCTAGAAGAGAATGCGAACTCCTAGATCTAATCGAGCCAGTGACTTGCAGGTCACCAGAGTTAATATATCAATACTATGATGCAATTTAAGTAGAAACAATGATCATCTATGTCCTCATCACAATAGATCTAAAATTGAAAACTCGAGGAGATGGTGATCGCTCCTTCAAAGGAACAAGGCATTAAGGGAAGAATGTGGACTAGAAGGTGCTAGCCATATGATGTGGAAACCAAAATGTGAGCTTGACACCTTGGTTGAAGATTCGTGGTTGGAAAGAGAGGGGTTTTTGTTCGTCGGGCAGAGAAGAGAAGAAAATTAGGGATTTTTAGAATTTGATTTGGAGTTTGTATTGATTATGAATTTATTTTTGAAATCAGAAGAGGATTAGTGGGCGACACGTCATCCGAACAGCTTCAATTTTAATTTTTTTTTGCCATGTGTAATCCTACGCGGATTGAAATCCATAGTGGCATCCTACATGTCATGCCACGTCATATGAACTCCTAATATGGTTATTGGAAGCTTAATTCATGTATTTTCCATCTATTTGTTAAAGAACGTGCCAAAATAATTAAAAGGTGTAAAGTTCGTGATTTTATGGTATAATAAGCCTAACTATATTATAAAAGCAAAACTCTTTAAAAATTTCTGACTGACTATTATACACTTAATATAATAATAATATTAGAACATTCTGTAGTACTAATATGTAAATCCAATCCCACTCTAATTAAGAAAGGACAAAAAATGAAATTTGATTTATCTTTTTGTTTTTGAAAAAAAGACATGGAACTTTCTTATATGATATGAAAATAGTCATTTCAACTTCTAATTATACTTATAAATAAATTACTGCAATTTTTTTAAATGATTATTATTTCTGAGAGTTCTTATACTAACTATTAACTATTAAGTAATAAAATTAATTCAATTTATGTTTTAGAAATCAAACAAACTAATTCAATTATAACCTATCAAATTTATATAAAAATCAAACATATATAATAACTAATAAAACTTATTCATTTATTAAAATTCAAACTATTAGAGATTAGGAAAAAAGTCAATACAAAATAGTTGAATAATACATGTGCAAAGCACATGCCCGAAAAAACTAGATCCATTAAAATAGTATCACAAGTCATTTCACATTGCACTCAGCATTATGGAGATTCAAGCTCCAAAAAAATTTGGGACACCGTTGTAATAAACATAATAAAAGAATAGTAGTCACAAGATGCCTACAAAAGCTGTTCAGTTCTATGAAATAAAGCACATACCATTGAAAATGGAACAAATAAAAAGGACATGCAATTGTTTGTCCAAAAGAAATTGTAAACCATAAAGGGTTTGCGGTGGTTGTTGGCCAAGAAGGGATGGTGTTATAAGTCTAGCTGGAGGAAAAAATACACAAAGCTAAACAATGTTATACCCTTCTTTTCTTTAAAGGAATCTCAATCTCCACATGGCAAATAATTCTCAAGCTGGATCAAGACAATACTAAGAAATTCCACATGATCCATTCCTCCTGTTCATAGTAAAGCTTCTTCGATAGGGACCAAATCATACCGAATTTTGATTCATTTTGGATGAAATTGACAAAACAGAAAAGACAGTTGAAAATTACACAGGAGCTAAAATCCTTTTTTTTTTTTTTTTTGCTGGTGGTGCCGGTATACTTCATTATAAGCTGGTAGGATAAACATGTATCCCCTTTTTCGCAGATCATATAATTCTTCCCAAGCTTTACAACCAGCTGCTACTTTGATCAATTATAAATAAACCAAAAACACATTCAGAATACATTCAAAATTTTCTTGTGAAAATTACCACACCAAGTGAAATTTGGAACTTTTCTTGCTAAAACATGATAACCAAAATATTTAACTAAAATGATGCACTGTAATATAACTTGCAAGGTTATTTATGTACTTTTTAGGAACTCTAATCAAATGCACGAAACAGAATATCAGCTTAACAGATAACAATGCCCATACCTCAGCAGTCCGCACCTCTTGTGCATAGGTAGGAGATACTGTTGTCACAATGTTTGAGAATACCACTGCACCCTGAACAAGAGAAAAATGTGAGAATAGAAGGGTGATAGCTTAACAGGATTGACCCTATCATGTGCAGAGTAAAATAAACTATACTTGAACAAAGAATTGCAATACCTTGACAGGATTGACCCTATCATGTGCAGAGTTGTCTTGCATTCGATCTGGTCTATTCAGCTGATGGACATCAAGTCCACAAGAAGCCAATTCTGATGCAGGTGCAGTCCCTTGGTACTCAAAGTTGTGGCATGTAAAACATATTCTGGCTGAATTCAACCCTTTTGGGGCATATAAATCCCAATAAAGTGGTGCCTGAAATGGCAGTGAGAGATCTATTGTTGTGAATTCTGATCAGGTGCTGAAAGGAAACAGCATTCAGCAATGAAATTTTAGATTGAACATACAACAAAAGCTGTCTGCCAGTCATGACAATGAATTATGTCTGGTTTTTTGCCAGATTGAAGAAGCAACTCAAGTGCTGCACGGCTGAAAAACAAAAAACGTCTGAAATCATCATGCTCTCCATAAAATTGTCCTCTACAGAAGAACTTATCAGGGTGCTGAGGCTCAATAAAGTAAACTGGGAGACCTGCACGATTAAAACTGATATTAAAATGCAATACTAAAGTTCATGTCACAACACAAACCAAACAAATATAATCCAAACCTTCAACTGTTCCAACCCATATTTTATTTTTGTATAATTTTCCATCAAAATATGACTCCACCACCACATCTAGCACCTGCACAAGCAATCAATTATCAAAACAATTGTAAGAATTACGAAGATTTTCCAGTTGCTCAAACAGTAAGTTTTTAACATACCCTCAAGTTGTGAACCCGATCATATTGCATGCAATCATATTTGGGCAGAACAATCTCCACAAGGTGTCCTCTCTTTTGTAATGCTTTACCAAGACCAGTCACAACGTCTCCCAAACCGCCAACCTGTAAAAATTAAGTACATAAAGCAAGCAAATAACAACAACAAGATGACAACAAGAAGTGAATCAACAAGAGAGGGGGGGGGGGGGGGGGAGGGGAGGAAGCAGAGGCAACCACAACAGGAAAACTAATAACCTTCAATGATCTAGAACCAATATCCAATTTTGTGCAGGATAATGTTATGGCATTTGAACAAAACTGCATATTACCAAAAATCCCAAAAAGGTGAAAATCACCACAGAAACATGCATTTTTAATAAGTGCTCAGAAATCATGCGACAGGCATTTGTGAATCTGAGGGATTATCGATGGGATATTGACACCAAGACACCAAAGAAGTCTGTGAAGTGCCTTGCAGGTATGTAAGCTTCATTTGGTCATTAAAAGTGAAATAGAAAAACAGGGAAAATTAATTAGAGTCCTCACAAGATTCTCTCCCATTTCCAAGCCAAAAAACTTGTCCGGGTAGCTCTAACAATCAGTACCAAGTATCTAATCTTATCAGGCCATCAAATGATACGAAAACTGAAGATGTTAATTTAGCATGTTATAATTATGTTTCATACATTAGTTATGAGATTATCCACGTAATCAAGTAAATACTACCAAGGTCTGATCACCCCACAAACCCTCACGTGACTTGTAAATGATAACTGGAGTCAACTGCCGTGAGAAGAAGAAAGGCATTGTTATCGATCAGAATTGCATGTATTTGTCCCAGCTTGTGAGAAACGAGCATGTTTTTTAATGTGATGGGCAATTGCAATAATTCATCACAAAAGCTCCACTTAGATGTTGCAGCCATAAAAGGATATGGTCCACATTTCATGGGAATATAAGAACAACATAAACTGAAAGAGGCCATCTAAGTTATACTTCCTCGAAAGAATATCATATAATGCATAACATATTCGTCTGATACAAATATATATACACATCTGATGGTGTCTGGCATACACCAAATGAGATTGACAAGCTGCTAAGTAATTAATGTAGGAAATATCAGGATATAATTAGATAGGAAATATGTTGTATATTTTTTTCTATTCAGTAGGGATCCTGTTCTATCTTCCTACCCTTTAGGAATTCTTTCCTATCTTAGGACTCTGTATGTATGTACATATATATATATATAGTTGTGTAATTGAGAAATATATAGAAATTATTTTCTCAAATATTATTTTCTTCATGGTATCAGAGCCCTAGGGTTTCTCCAGGGACAATTGTTAAAATCGCAGCCTTCATTGCTGCACTTACCTTATGTTTTGCCCCCTTACAATGGCCGACACACAATCTTCAGAGACCGAAGCTCCGAATTCATCTCTGACGCCGATTCCATCAAGTGAGGGAGATCAACCAAGCTGGACCAATCTGGATTTTTAGAATGTTCAAGCTGCTTACCGATTGAATGGAAAAAACTATCTCAAATGGTCTCAATTTGTTCGAACCTTCTTGAAGGGAAAAGGGAAGATGGGGCATTGGCTAGGCACCGGACCAAAAAGGGGCACAGTAGGCTTTGACGCATGGGATGAGGAAGATTCGATGATTATGTCATGGCTATGGAATTCAATGACTCTGGAAATCAGTGACACTTGCATGTTCTTCCCTTTGCAAAGGCAATCTGGGATGCTTTCAATCAAACTTATTCTAAAGTTAACGATGCAGCCCTCATTTATGACATAAAAACCAAAACTGCAACAATGAAACAGAGGACAAAATTGTAACAGGCTACACCAATCTGTTGCAGAACCTATGGTAGGAGCTCAATCACTACAGGACCATCGATTTGAAGTGTAGTAACTGTGCTGTCTCCGTGAAAAAATTCATTGAACAAGACCATTTGTATGATTTTTTAGCAGGATTAAATTCTGATTTTGACTTAGTTCGTATTCAGATCTTGGGAAGAACTGATGTTCCCTCCCTTAATAAAACTATCTCTATGGTACGTGCAGAAGAAAGTCGTAGAGGAGTGATGTTAGATTCACCGGCAGTTAAGAGCTCAAGCACTCCTAAGCTCAAACTCCAAGACTCCAAAATTGGGTTTTTCTCTTGATAGAGCTGTCGTTCAACAGTCGTATCCCCAAAGGAACACTTCGAAAGATCATCTATGATGTACTTATTGTAAAAAACCCCGACATACCAAGGAGCAAGTGCTGGAAATTATATGGCAAGCCGTCGACTCACGGCCGAGAATGGGGTCAAAGACGTGGGCAGCAAAGACAATCACAGGGACAAGCCCATGTGACAACACAAAACGCACCGAAGGGATTGGGAGGATTCAGTATGGAAGATCTGGAAAAACTCAAGAGCTTGGTAGGATCCATGAAAAAATCTATTACACCTCTTAACCAATCTCAAGGTTCATGTTTATTAACGCTCTCGGGTAAAACTCCCATCTCCTTTGGATTAAATGTTTTGGATAATGAGTTTTGAAATGCATGGATTTTAGACTCAAGTGCTACGGACCATATGACCCACACATCCAGCTTTTTCAAAACCTATACACCTTGTCCCAGCAGCCAAAAAATAACTATAGCCGATGGTACTACAACCACAGTAGCCGATATTAGAGATATCCAAATTGGTCAAAACATTATGCTAAAAAATGTTCTTCATGTTCCTCGATTATCAACCAATCTTATTTCTGTTCATAAGCTTATCCAAGACTTGAATTGTCATATTACCTTTTTTGTTGGTTGTTGTGAATTTCAAGATCAAGAGTCGGGGAAGAAGATTGAACTTGCTAAAGAGCATAATGGCCTTTACTACTTCAAGTACACCAAGTCAATAAATCCCGATTAATTTATCTTCTCCAGTCTCATGTTTTTCACAATCAAATAAAGATGTCATTTGGTTGCATCATAGGCGTCTAGGTCATTTGTTGTTTTTTACCTTGAAAATAATGTTCCCTAACTTGTTTAAGGGAGTCGACGTTAAAGTTTTTCAATGTGACATTTGTGAGTTTGCCAAACACACACATGTATCGTTTCCAATAAGCAATAAAAAATCAAGTTTTCCTTTTTCTTTAATTCCTAGTGACATTTGGGGCCCTTCGTCCATCCAAAACATTACCGGATCAAAATGGTTTGATACTTTTATGGATGATTGCACTAGAACTTTCCGGGTTTATCTTCTTAAACAAAAGTCCGATGTCACTCATATCGTTCCCACCTTTATCTCTATGATAAAAAATCAATTTGGGGTACCAGATCAAACGTATCCAATCGGATAATGCTCGTGACTACGTTAACCGGACTTTGTCTTCCTATTTTCAAAAAGAAGGTATTATTCACGAGTCATCCCGTGTCATCACTCCACAACAAACGAAGTCGCCGAACATAAAAACCATCTTCTTGAATGTACTAAGGCGTTTTTGTTCCAACAGAATGTTCCGAAAACCTTTTAGGGGAGGCGGCTTTAACGTCGACCTATGTCATAAATAGGATGTCCTCTAAAGTTTTAGATTTCAAAAGTCCATTGGAAATTTTGTCTCGGTTCTTCCCCGATGTTCGGTCTTCCTTCAACCTTACCCCTCGTATTTTTGGGTGTACATCCTTTGTTCATGTCCATAATACCACTCGGGAAAAGTAAGATCCTAGAGCCCTTAAATGCATTTTTTGGGGTATTCGGTCACTCAAAAAGGATACAAGTGCTATCATCCACATACTCGGAAGCTCTATATCTCGACTGAAGTCACTTTTGTTGAAAATAAATCATATTTTTCTTCACCTTACATTCCGGGGAGCTTTCTACAATTGCCTGATTCCGATATCCTCTTGATATTTCTTCATCAAGAGATGTAGCTCCTCATGAACAGCCCCTTAATGATCATGTTTACCAATCCACCATTCTCTTGCCCACAGAAGAAACAAAGGACAATGGTAGATTGGTTGATCGGTTTCAGTTTGATAAGGTGTATATAAGAAAAAATAACGCCATTCCTGCTTCTGCAGCAAGATCAATCACTTATATCGAGTTCGAACCCGAGGTAACAATTTCTAACATTTTTTCTCCTTCCACATTTGATTCTACACAACCCGAGACTGATCTTGACAAACCTATAGCCTTAAGGAAAAGAACCCGCAATCGCACAAAAACACCTTTATACCACCGGCCAATTTTGTATCTTTCAATAATTTTTCTCAAAATCACCGTAGCTATCCGTCCACATTAAATTCAATTGCTATTCCTAAAACTTTGTCTAAAGCTTTATCTAAAGAAGAATGAAGACTTGCCATGACTGCAGAGAGGGAAGCACTGGAAAAGAATGATACTTGGGAATTGGTGCCGCTGCCTAAAGGGAAGAAAACAGTCGGCTATAAGTGGGTGTTTGCGGTGACACTTAAAGCGGATGGGTCTTTAGAACGATACAAGGCCGGACTAGTTGCTAAGGGTTATACTCAAACATATGGGATCGATTATCAAGAGACGTTTGCTCCAAGTAGCAAAGATAAATACAATGTGAATTTTGTTGTCATTAGCAATCCACTTTGATTGGGAGTTATAGCAATATGATGTGAAGAATGCATTTTTACATGGTAACTTGGAGGAAGATATTTACATGAGCATTCCGTTTGGTTTCAATGGTAGTGATGGGAATCAAGTTTGTAAACTTAAGAAGGCGTTGTATGGTCTCAAACAATCGCCACGTGCTTGGTTTGGTCGGTTTACTCATGTGATGCTTGCGAGTGGATACAAACAAAGCCAAGAAGACCACACTTTATTTATCAAACACACTACTTCGGGGGGTCACAATTCTGATTGTCTACATTGATGATATCATTGTAACCGAGAACGATGAAATAGAGAAAGGAGTGTTGAAACGGTGTTTGAACCGGGAGTTTGAAATTAAAGACCTTGGGAGATTGAAATATTTTCTTGGCATAGAGGTGGCTCGGTCTAAGAAAGGATTTTTCATCTCACAACAGAAAATATGTTACCGATTTACTCTTGGAAACCGGGATGACAGCAAGCAAACCTGCAGCAACTCCAATCGAACAAAATCATCGATTAGGAGAAGCTTTAGGTGATAAGAAGGTGGAGAAGGAAATGTATCAACGTCTCGTAGGAAAACTCATCTATCTTGCTCATACTAGACCGGATATAGCTTATTCTGTGAGTGTTATTAGTCGGTTTATGCATGATCCAAGAGAAGTATCTACAAGCTGTTTACGGAGTTCTCCATTATTTGAAAGCTCACCCAAGCAAAGGAATTCTATTTAAGAAAAAACAGAATATTGATCTAGCAAGTTTACACATATGCTGACTTTGTAGGTACTCCAGTTGATAGAAGATCGACTACAGGATACTATACTTTTGTTTGAGGAAACTTGATATCTTGGAGGAGTAAAAAACAGGATGTGGTTGCACGATCAAGTGCGGAGGCTGAATTTAGAGCAATGGCAACGCGTATATGTGAACTATTGCGGGTGAAAATCATCTTGGAAGATATGAAGGTTGAATAGTGTGGTCCAATGAAGCTCTACTCGTGATAATAAATCTGTCATCGGTATAACTCACAATCCAAGTGCAGGATGACCGAACTAAACACGTAGAGGTGGACGGACATTTTATTAAGGAAAAGCTCGACAAGTGGATTAATTTGTACTCCATATGTTCCTACGGATCTTCGGTTAGCGGATGTTCTAACAAAAAGATTAAACAATCATGCATTTCAGGAAAATATATGCAAGCTGGGAATGAAAGACCTATATTCACCAACTTGAGGGGGAGTGTAGGAAATATTAGGATATAATTAGATAGGAAATATTTTGTATATTCTTTCCTATTCCGTAGGGATCCTATTCTATCTTCCTACTCTTTAGGAATTCTTTCCTATCTTAGGACTCTCTATGTATATGTGTGTGTGTGTGTGTGTGTGTGTGTGTGTGTGTATAGTTGTGTAATTGAGAAATATACAGAAATTATTTTCCCAAATATTATTATCTTCAATTAAAAATCCTAAAACAAATTGACTGAGGGAAACAGATGTTAAACTCACCTTTGCAACTGGTGCCATCTCTGCTGCAATATGAATGACTGATAATCCTGAACTAAAGATCAAGGGAAGAGATAAATCAGATAGTAACAACTTGCTGAAATTTCCTACTTAAAAATTGTTACCTTTTGGGTGACGATGTCAGCTTGAGAAACCTAGACACAGCTTCACGCTCATTCTTTTCTCTGCTTTCCATGTATGCCTCACAAATACGCCTATCTCTCTTCCGCACCATTTCTCTCAAGTGCTTTGCATCATCTGTAGATATTTTCTTTTCAAGCAGCCAACCATCAATTATGAGCAGTAAATGACTCCAAAATTCCCAAGGCATATCTTCTACAGGTTGATCTAGTGCCCTTTTCTTGCTTTCCTCTTTCAAATTATTGAGTGTATCTTGAAATTCTTGTACAGAGTCCTGATACAATCGGACATAAGAATGTATCTCTTCATCGGACCTCTGAAGGCGCTCCTCCAATAGTTTCATCTTTTGCTGCATCAGTTCATTATATTGCTGCAACTTTTCTGATGAAAGCATATAAACATTGGCTTCTTCCAGGGATTCTTCCAATTTATCAACCTTCTTTCGAAGCTCCTGGTTTTGCTGAAACACAAGAATAGCTTGATCTGCTTGCTTGGCTGCCTTATCTAGCAGTATTTGCAAATTTTCCACCTTCTCCCATAAGTCCTTGCATTCAACTTTTAGACTAAATAATTTTGAAACATCTTCCTGAGAAGCTATCAGTTTGGACTCTAGGTCTTTCAGAGAAGACTCCAACGAAGAGCGTTGCTTCTCCAGCATTACAACACGTTCATCAGTATTCTTGACATTACTAAGCTCTCCCCTGAGTGCTTCTATATCATTTTTCAGAGACATATTCTCCATCCTCAGTGAACTCAGCTTCTCGTTAAGAGAATGAACACTGCTATTCTGAAGTAGAGGGGCTTCCTTATCAGAAACATTGCTTTGGCTCTCATACAGATCAAACACACTTCTCCCAGTAGCACCCCTCTGAGCTAGTTCATTCCTTAGTTTCTCCAACTGGGCTTCCATGAGTTCCACACGTATCTTTTCTTGAGCAGCTACCTTCATCCTGGCATCATTTTCTGCCAATCTCATCTCCAAAACATTAATTTCTCCTTGCAACGCATCCTTCTCATGAAAAATTCTTTCAAGATCGTCAAGTGCATGAACCCGAGCTTTGTTGAGAAGAAGAACATCTAACATACACGTTATCTATGAATATAAACTCATGCTCTCCATGCTTGAAAGTAATAAAACTATAAGAATCAAGAAAGATAAATCAAGAAAAAAGAGAAAGGCATCCTACTTTTCTCAGCATTTCTTATCATGCCTATCAAATCCTCAAGTTGAACACTTGAAAGTTGCTCTCCGCTGCCGATGCTTATGGCCTGGGAGGTAGAAAAAATAGATTATTTAAATTTTTTGAAACAAGCCATTGTCTCTAAATGGACCTAATGTGAATCCGATTGTTAAATTATCATCCAGACACTAACAGACCAAAACTCAAGTAGCAAATTCCAACATAGATATCTGTTACTACATAGATAGGCCTAAAGTGCGTAGAAACTCAGCCACTTAAAACATATAGCTAGATAGCTTAAAACAGATTATAAATTACTATTTATGTAGCATGGTGAAAAGGCATACCAATTCCTTCATTTCATCTGACGCACTCGACTGCTTCTCATCTCCCTCTACACTAATATCAATAGCCTGAGAAACCAGAAAAAAAAAAAAAAAAAAAAAAGGAAAAAACATTTACACTTTCAGCAATTATCTCCTATTTTTACTGCACCGTAAAGTGATTAGCAAAAAGAATACCAAAGATTTGTCTTCTTCGGAGACTGTAGGACATTCTAAATTCTGTGCATCAGTATGTAGCTCAATCCGCTCCACATCTACACTACTAGTTTCCGAATCTTTCGAATCTACTATCCTAGAGCCAATACCATCATTGTTAATCAAATTTGGTACACTATACACTGAAGAAGAAGAAGAAGGAGAAGGAGAAGGAGAAGGCTGTTGTTGATCACTATCGGAATCCTCATCGGAAGGCTGTTGTTCAGTAGAAGATATCTTCTTCATTTGTCTTCTCTTATACTGCGACTGCGAACTTCTTTGATGCATCAAATTCCAATGAGTTAAAAACCTAATTGGAAAAACCTAATCAATCAAATTAGAAAAACAAAATAGAGTACCTGAAGTTGCGATTGCGCATTTTGCAAGAGGATGGGAGTAATCGATGACAAGGCAATAAGAATCGAGCATTTGTGTGATTATGATTGTGATTATTATTAGTATTCCAATTTAAAGACGTAAGGCGGTGGCTCAGAAAACAAGTTGATAGTTTCGTTGCCATTATTTATGTTTATTCTTTTCTTCTTCTGTACACAGTTTAGTTTTCTACTCCATTCATTATCTGTTGCCTGCTTGCTTCCTGTACACGGACTCTTCGAATCTTGTTTTGTTTTCTGTTAAAGGAAAGGAAAGGAGAGCAAAGGAGGAGTGAGGAGGAGTGAAAGTTGAAACGGAAAAAGGTTCTTGTGATTCGATTGTGCTTGCTTTGCTTGGTTTTGCCACCAGTGAAGGGAAGTGAAACTGTGCAAACTTGTTATGGGGATTATCTTAATCGAACGGTGGAGGATTCTGGTTCGGTTCAAGTCAAGCCACGTGAGCAGGACCGTGGGACTCGGGAGTTTTTTATCGTCTTTTTCAGGAGGTGGCCTTCACTTGTTTGATTTAAGGAATCTAACAAATTGATTTATTTAAGTTGTTTTGTAACTTTAAAATCAAAGAAATATCATAAATATGTCTCCAAAATTTTATTACAAAATTTAATTAAAATTTTAATTTAATCAAAAATTATTTTTTGGCATTTAACTTAGAGATTTTAACTTATGGTACTTATCTTTCTTAAAAATAAATTAATTTGGATCACTTTTACCAAACATATTTCAACTTAAAATCATATTACCTCATTTTTGTTGTACGTTGTTTGTATTATGCTCAAAGTCAAAAGTTATTTTTTACAAATAATACCAAACATAATAACGTCATTTGATCGTGTAGAAACATCTTCGTATTATCGTCTCAATTGTCAAGCATTGTTGCTTCCAAAGCATGTGGCCAGCTAAACCCTTTTCTACCCTTCAAAATCAATAAAGATAGCTTCGACTTCCGACTCGATCAATAAAGCATACATGCACTCGGACAACCGTCTTGGACAACCATTTTTTGCCATCTCTTGACATATTGCTCTACAGGCTCACCAGCTTTGTTTCCATGTCCTGAAGGTCTGTCTTGTTCGGAACTGCCTTGCCTTTTGAATTGCACCGCTTTGTTAAACCATTGGTTGAACTAAGGTTGCCTTCTTCTGAATTGGTTGCCTAATGCCTAGATTACATGCACATTCCCCTTTAATTGCCTGCAAATCTTTCTATAAGCAATGAACTGACTTGACTCCTTTACCTTGAGTACCTTTTTCCTCTAGGCTTCTTGATTAGCATGGAGGAGTCCAGCACAAACTTGCATTGTGGGACATAAAGAAGATGTTATATGTCGTAATCCGAGATCGGATAGGATTCTCAAAAAAATTTAAGATTTGTATCGTCGCATTTATAATTTATTGTGAAGATGTGAATTATTATTGATTTTAAAGTCACCACCTAGTATTGAATGAACTAAGAACCTAAAATAGCAACTGATGTAGAGATTCCAAAATAAGGAGTTTATTACGTTTTGAAAAGATATCGATTACCCAAAAACGCTCTTTCTTAAGAAAGATATCATATTTAGTTTAGTTGTGAATTTATCTCATCTCTTAAAGATATTTTATTTGTATCAAATTATTTTCGATTTAAATTGTAATTTTTCAAGCCAAATTAAGTTTTTATTTTTTAGCGTTGCATCGTATTAAAACGATCATCGAACTCCTTTATCGGGAGACACGTCAATTCAAACATCGGATACCCTTTAAGCCTCAACACAACCAAGTGTGTCGGAAAACATCTTGATTATTAAATGATAATTTTTTGGCTAACAACAATACCTATCGGATAGGAGACTTTGTTAGGAATTTTAATTAATTTCGTTTATTTTTATTAATAACGAGTCTCTAGCAGATAAGAGACCTTGTTAAGAATTTTTATTGTTTTTTGACAATAACGAGTCCTTATTAAATAGAAGGCTTCGTTAAGAATTTTTATTATTATTTTTTTTTGCAACAACAGATCCTTATCGGATTTGAGACTTTATCAAAAAAAATTATTTTTTGATCAACAACGGTTCTTATGAAAAATGAGACTTCATTGAGGATTTTTTTATTATTGTTTTGGTTAATGACGAGTCCCTATGAGATAGGAGATTTCGTTGATAATTTTTTTTATTATTATTATTTTGGTCAACGACCGTGCCTATCGGATAGAAGACTTCATTAAGAATTTTTACGTTTTTTGTTATTTTTATTATTTATTTATTTATTTGTTATTTGTTAATAAAAAAATTATCATCGATCTCTAAAAATCGAAAACTCGATAATTCTTTTATCAAATAATTATCTAACTAATTATTAAAATAAAATTCTAAAATTTAAAGTTAATTAAATAAATTCCAAAAAATCTAAAAAATTAAATCTAAATTAATTTGAAAAATAAAAATACATGCAAAAAAAATATTCGGATTTAAGTTATCTTAAAAAAATGAATTGAAAACATATATAAATATATAAATCTTATTGACCCCAAGCCCAATGGCCTATGCCTTATTCTCTTTTACCTATTTTCTTTTATTTTTCTTTAACTCGACTAATTCCAATTTCTCATTCTATAGTATAGATCAATTTTTTTTCTTTTTTTATTTTTTGATGGGTAGAAGTCTGGACCAAAATCAGCTTTTGCCTAGTTCCTTATTTTTTGGGGGTTTTAACTAAATTAAAGCTATGTGTGGGTTGGGCAAGTTAGGCTTAGCCCAACCCATTCTTTTTCTACACGGGCTAGACTACATCCATAAACATAGCCCAAGTGTTTTCTTTTCGTTTTTTCGATCAAACAAGCTCTTCTCTCTCTCTCTCTCTCTCTTCGTGTTTTTCATTTTCTCTCTCTATCCTTATCTTTCTTCTAGGAATCAAGCTTTTGTTTTAGATAAAATACTTAACTAACTAGGCTATATTCATTCCTTTATCTCGATTAGAATTATAATTTAAAGCTTAAACAAACAACAAACATGAATTTACAAAGAATCGTTATTCCGAAATTGGGATGGGTAGAATTGATTCTCGAAGTGGTTTCGAGAGGATTAGGGGACCCTCGGTGTAGAAAAAAGAAATGAGGTTCAATCGATCGATGGAGTGATGAACACAAACCTAAAAATTATGAACCCGAACCTAGAAGAACAAAGAATAATGAATGGTCGCCTAGAAATCCTAAATGAGAAAACCCGGAAAAGGAGAATTAAACCTCCTAACCTAGAAAATAAGGTTAAAAAGCTTGTGAGGATTGAAAACAAACATAGAAAAACTAAAAACAACCAAGTAACAAGTCCAAAAGAGGATGAAAAAAAGGCAGTTATTTGGCTATTTTGAGCATGCCCCATTAGGGAGTATTAGCCTCATTCTAGAGGACATCCGTTGTGTAGCCTCTCCAAAATTTTGCAACAGATCATCCTATTGTTTAGAGCTTTTCCTCTCCCTTGTATATAAAAAAAAAAGGCAATTATTGACTTAACCAAGAAGCTATATAAGGGAAATGATTGTGTACTACTCTTAAATGGTCTTTGGAAATATTGATGGTGAATTTGTGTATAATGTAGCTAGTTTTTATTGTATAAAATTGCTAGAATATTCTACGTTATAACTCCAACTTTGACTTTGTTAACATTATATATAATATATTACAATGGGTTGTCCCAACCTTTATAGACACTCAATTTCTAAACACCTTTTGGTGTTAGAGTAGCATGCATCCTAAGATATTCTTTCTCTTCAAAATCATAATTTTTATAATGGAGGCTTCTCTCATTGTCTAGATTTTTTTCATACCTCTTCCATGGTTTCCACCTCTTCCTCTTCTATGTTAACTCCATTTAATTATTCTTTGGCAACAACTTTTGTCTTTTTACTCTTTTTTATAAAATCTCATTTCCATATAGTTTTTTTTTTTGGTCATTAATGTCAAGCAATAGTACATGAAACATGACATTTCTCAAAATTTTCTAATATCACAAAACCTATTCACTAATATTCTTAAGGGTCACCAACTTTCTAATGTAAAAGTTCCTTTTAATGCTCTTTGGCAAGTTGTTAAATACATATTGTCTTACTTAGTGGAGCCACTCTTTATTAGGCTAAAAAATTCTAACCACCCTTAAACTTCAAGTTATTTGAAGTTGAGTCTTTAAATTGTTTTTATTAGTTTTAGAAATCCTTAGACTTTTAATTTTTTTCAAATTTAACCCATTTTTTAGTTTTTTGTCATTTATGTCAAGAAATAACAATCACATAAATAATTTTATAATGGAAATTATTTAGTGACATTTATATGGGGCTCTTAAAAAATTTGGGATTGTTTCGGGATTATTTTCTATTTTTCTTAATTTTATATATTTTTAATGTTCAAAAAATAAACAAATATAATTTTTAATTTTGAAAATTTTTAGATTTTTTCTGCAAAATGGATTGAATTGTTTCCAATATTTGTATAAACATTCAGCTAAAAAAAATAAGAGTTGAATTTTTTAGAGGGGAAGATGGTAGTTGAAAATTGAGGTGAACACTATTTAGTTAAAACATAAAAACGGAACCAAATCAAATTAGCAATTTTGATTAGATTTGTTCAAAAAAAATTTAAAAAACCAAAACTAAAAACCAAAATTATTTTGGTTCGACTCGGTGTTTTTTTTTTAAATCGAACCGAAAACTAAAATTTTCACTAGCCAAACAGTACCTAATGCTTAGTCGGTTACTAGTTAGTCCCTTATCGGTTAGTTACCCATAATTCCTAAATCCCTAATATCTATTAGGGATAATTACTAGAAAAACCCTTTAAAAAAAATCTTATATCTAAGTAACTCATTAATTTATTTTTAAATCTCTTAAACTCTAAATAATATTTTTCTTACCAAAACACCTAATAGTTAACCTCCAACTTAACACTAGTTAACTATTGGGTCTTTTGGTAAAATAATTTTTTTATTTTTAGGTTTGAGAGGTTTAAAAAATAAATTGATGGATTTTTATATAGAAAATTTTTAAACACTAACATTCAACTTTTTTTTTATTATACTAAAAAATTCCTTATATTAGAGTTTTTTTTTTTGCCTATCGACTGTTTGTTTCAAAATTAATTTTACTATCTACTAACTACAGCAATCAATGTAATTTAACTAATTAATATTGATGAAATGAGAATCTTGTTATTCTCTTGTAATTTAATCAAGAGGTTATCATACAAATAAGAAAAATAAGAATATGAATGATTATGAACATTAGTGATTTCTTAAATCCTAATATATTGATTAAAAAAAATATCATCGATAATACTAGTTTTTAATTAATCAAAACATAATATTTTTTATCAAACAATTCAATTAAATTACATGATGAATGTATAACATATTTTGGTATATTAATTTAATAAAACATGATCATCCATGATACAAATACATACTTTGAAAGACAATGATTTCATTTAAATTAGGTATAATTATCAAAATACCTTCTAAAAAATCTTCTATCTAAAAAATTCATTATTTTATTTTTAAATCTCTCAAATATAAAATAATATTTTTAAATCTCACTAGTGTTAATTATTGGGTGTTTTTAGTAAGAAAAATATTATTTTGGGTTTAGAAGATTTAAAAATAAATTTATGGGTTTTTTAGATATAAGATTTTCTTATAAGGTTTTTTTTTTTGGTAATTATCCTATCTATTATCTAGCCAAAATACAAAAAAACCTCCCGTTCTATCGTTCGTCACACGCTACTGACAGCCACACCCGCCCACCACCCAATCCGGCCTACCAGAAACAACCACACCCACCTGAGCCACCTCTCCGTCGTCCATCCTCCTCCTTCAGAATCTAGTCCTCCTCAGGCCTCAGCTTAGTTTCCGCGGCCTTCTTCCTCCTTCTCCTCCACCACAACCACAAGCCACATCTCAGATTCCCAGTTGCCCGCCCGGTTCCCATGGCCATGGACACAGTAAGATTTCTTCTGATTCCTTTGTTTTTGCGGTAAAAATTGAACTGTGATAGAAATATAATTGGCTAGATTTTGTGATTTTGAACAGAGAAAATGTCATTTGCTGCGTTCCTTCTATGAATATTTATGTCGCTGTGTGCGCGAGCGCTTGTGTTCTTGGTTGGAGTTGGTTTACAGTTTACTAGTCTGTAAGATTGGTTCTGTTTGAAAATTTCACTGAAAGTTTGATGTACTGACTTGAACTATATATATTGGCATATTCAATGAGACAGCTTTGTTATTGAATTAAATATGCTTTAGTGGTTAGATTGCAGAACATTTGGTCTTGATTCTTGGATGAATTTGGAGAAAAATTTTATTAGCAATTGTGAATCAAACTAATAGGCTTCAACTGTTGACATGGCTCGCTAAAATGAGTAAGAAATTGAATACGGGAGAGGATTAAATAGGCTTGACAAAAAATGTCCCATAAGTTGAATATGGGAGAGGATTAAAAAATGTCTTAGCTATTGCAATATGCAAGATCATATAAGTTACTCCTGTAAGCCATTATTAAAGTTATTATGCTTATGTATTTTATTTTATCAGCTGCATTCTCTATATTATTTTATCTACTTTTTTAGTAATATGTAGACTATATAAAGAAAGGAAGGTGTGTCTTCGTTGTCAAACTGAATTTTTTAACAGTCTCTGATTCCTTTTTTAAAAGGTTTTTGAGCTTTACAGAATTTAGAAGATGCTTTGTAGGTATTGGTTTAAATGATTCATACAGCTTTGCATTAATCAATTTTTAAGTGCTTGTGGAAATGATTTTTAGACAAGTTTAATTTCATTGAAGATTTGGCCTTCAGTATATGATTATTATTCTTTTCAGCTTTAAAGATAGAATAAATTGTGTCGAGATCCTGTTAGCAAATACTATTTTGAAGCAGTTTTTGGGACCTTCCTTTTATGTTCTTCTATATATGATAATTATTCTTTTCAGCTGGGTTGTCATCACCTTCTCCTTTTTTAGCTTATTCTACTGGTTTTTCCTCTTCTTTCTTTTCTTTATTTTGTTCGTCCTTTCTCTCTTCAGCTGGTTTTGCTTCTTTTGCTGGTTTCTCTTATTCCTTTGCTGGTTCAGGTTCAGGCTCAGGTTGGGGCACTATCCTAAAAGAATACATGCACTATGCATATATATATATGGATAGCTTGAATATATATATATATATATATATATATATATATATTTTCAAGCTATCCATGTATATATATGTATATGTGTGTGTCTGTGTGTGTGTGTGTAGCTTGAATATGGTTTTTGAGTCAAAGTATTGGTGATGATAGGATAAGAAGACTTTAAAACCACGTGCCTCAGCAATATTTTTATGTATTTTTGCTGGGCTGCAGCCTCATACCTCTTATAAATTCCACACCATCCCTTGCCTTTCTTCGTGCCCCTGGATTTAATTCACTCTGCTCTCTAGCTAATAAGAGTAGTGCCTCTGATACATAAGAACACTCTCATTGTCTCTCCCTTTTGAAGCACCGATAAAAACTAGGCACTAAATCCTTTTGGAGGTGTGTGATTGTGTCCGTGTGTCAGTTGGTACTTTAGTTTTTTTTCAGACTTAAATTCATACTAATAACTAAACTTGGATCTGTCAAAGAAAGAGCCCCATCAGTTTCTTCCAACACCACTTCTGCTTCATTTCCACATGTTTTGATATTACTGTATCGAGTGCACAAACTTTCATATAGTTTAAGACATTTTAGAGGTTTTTTATTTATAACATAGCAATTGATTTGATTGCATTGAAATTACATTCTGCATCATTCTTTCCCTGTCTTTTTTGGGTCTTTTGTATTGAAATGAACAAATGGTAAAGGCTTTCAAATTAGGAATTTCTGAACAGTGGCTGGAGCTAGCTTTTGTGCTTTGGCTATACATTTCTATATATTAAAAACTTCAACTTTTAATAATTTATCCTTTATGTAGATGAAGAAATTGTGACAGTAATTAAATGGAAATGAATCAGAGATTTGTTTATGATTTGGTTACTACATGATTAGCTAGTGGCTAGGATAAGTTCCAATAATTAAATGGAATTTAGTTGGAAATGACAGTATAAATGAATTTTGGATGAGGGCAAGTCGGGTATATGATGTATTTTAAATTTCAATTTCCTGCCAAGACCAACTCTATTTTCAAATTTCAATGGATTACAGCTTGAGAGGGATAAGTTAATTTGAAAGTAGAGTTGGTCTTGGCAGTAGTATGTATTTAACTTGATCTTTGGTGATATGGGTTTTTAACTTGGAAATACTTTGTCATTTTTTTTTCTTTCAATTTCTTATAAAGCATCGTTCATCAGGTCACGTGCTGGAAATGCAGGAAAAATTAACTGTTTTCACAGGTATGTTGAAGCAGCAGTGAACTAGTGATTTGGCAACTTTGGCAGTTCATTGTCTGCTTTGGTTCTGATAACTCAGCTTAAAACAGTTGAATTCTTTTTCCAGTTATAACATCCTCAAGCATTCTCAAAATCTAGATTCCATCAGCATCAACATTTAGAAGTTGAATTTTGCAAATGGAAAACAAACGCGATGACTGTTATTGGTTTTCCACTACTTCCACCATCACCATCACAATCAGCATCGTTTTGATTGCAATAACTCGCATTCTCTATGTTCTATATCGATCAGGCAAACCCGTCTGTCTGTCAAAATCCCCAAAACCACTGAGCACTTTGATTGTTTTGGGATCAGGTAAGTCAAACAAATTCTTTTAACTGTAATTTTTTTCAGCTATGTTAATTAATTATTATTGCCTTCAATTATAGGAGGACACACGGCAGAGATGATTAATGTGTTGAATGTGTTGCTGCAAAAAGATAGGTTTTGTCCTAGGTTTTATATTGCTGCTGGTACTGATAATATGAGTTTACAGAAAGCTTGTCTTTTGGAGGAAAATGTTATTAATTTGGTAGGTTCATCACTTTATTCCCTTTCTAGCTTTCCTCGATTTGTTTTTTGTTTTGTTTTGTTTTGTTTTTTTTTGTTTTTCCCAATAAATGTGGAACTTAGGACTAAGGGTTTGAATGGAGTTCTGATTTTCATTGAGAGTAAGGTTAATGTTGCATTCACCTTTTGTGTTTTGAAAAGGAAAAAAAAAAAAAAAGAATTGTGAATGGTTTGTTTTCGGTTTGCTCATATTTGAAGTGGTTTTTAACATGTTATTGCAGAATGGAGGAAAAGGAGTCTCAGTTCAATTCCTGCAAATTTACAGAAGTAGGGAAGTTGGTCAGTCATACATAACCTCTGTTGGGACAACTTTACTAGCTATGGTTCATGCATTATGGCTAATGATTCGAATCAGACCTCAAGTGGTATAATTTCTATTTATGTTTTTTTTTTCTTATAGTCTTTTTTGTTACTAAAGAAATTCCTAAATTAACTGATACTGAGAGTTTCTAGTTCAAAAATCTCAGGTTCTTTGCAATGGCCCTGGGACTTGTGTTCCTCTATGTTTAATTGCATTCTTGTTCAAGGTTATATGCCTTCCCTCTCAGCCCTTAGTCTTTGCGTTGTGTTTCTCTGATATTGTGTTGGAGTTAATTCTATTACCTTGTCCACTTCGCCTGCAGGTGGTGGGGATTAGGTGGTCATCTGTTTTTTATGTTGAGAGTATAGCGAGAGTGAGGAAGCTCTCTTTAAGTGGTTTGCTTCTTTACAAGTTGCAGATAGCTGATCAGTTTTTTGTACAATGGCCACAACTACAGAGAAAATATCCACGAACTCATTATGTTGGCTGTCTCATGTAGTTCATTGATTGTACCACTTTCATGGGTACATACTAAACTACCATGTTTTTGCACTGCTATCTACATTTTGAAGTTTTTTTTTGAGTGGTATTCAATGTGTAGTTCTCAATCTCCAACTTCTGTAACATGTGAGAGGGAGATCTATTTGTTCTATGGATGCCCATAACAGGGCGAGGGAGGGGAAGAGTGCTAGCTTTTGTGAAGTTCTGATTTCATAGATATGTATGGATATACAAATTTATATGTGAGAGTGATGTAAGGTATGAACATGATTTGCCAGCGTGTATGAAGCACCTCTTTGCCACTATGCCATAAGTAGGTCATTTTACTGTCTAAACATATTGATGGTACAATTCTTTCTTTGATGTACTTTTTGAACACAATAATTGATTGAAATATACATTTGCTAGTTGTTTCTCATGCCTTATTTGTGAAATATAGTAGCAGAATGTGATGGTCAGTGCATATATTAATGCCTGTCTAGTGCCTAGCATTGGCTTTCATTGACATCATTTATACCCCCTCCTATTTTGGCTGTCTTGTATTTATGGAACATTCTGAACCTTATTCTAAACATGCATATTTTGAATAACTGAATACAAATTGCTCTTGTATCTTGTATTGTGGGTGTTACCATAGTAAATACAACCTTTATGGGTACAAGTGTAGCTAAATTTTCTTTGGTGACCTATCTTAAGTTGCATCAACTAGGTTTTCAAGGAAGTACTCCGGTAGGTGAGCTGCATAGTTAAAGCATCAGTTCTTACCCATCAGATGCAACTAATGTGCAAATGAATCCTACGCCATAGTGCAATTCCAGGAGTGCTGTGTGATGCTGAGATAGTTTGTGAAATACAAGGAGAATGGAGGAGATAGTGACTAGGAGAACAGAATTTTGTCATAACCGGAGTGAATGATTGAGAATGGATGACTGAGAGAAAAAAGCATTGAAGGGCACCTGGAATGTGCAAACTATTGCGATTTCGAAGATACAAGAGCCCAATCGAGCACTTTATGGTGCTTGCAGCTAAGAATAGAACAAACGAGGGATATACCAATGATTGGAGATAGATAGATGGTCGTTTTTTTTTTCTTTTTTTTTTTGGGAGGGGGGGGGGGGGGGTGGTTGTGGATGCTGTTTATTGTGTGATTTTCCAGTTGGGAGAAGCAGGAGTAAGCAATGGGGATCAAAAAGTCTGCAAGCTGTACAACTGCTGCCATTTGTTTGCTCTTTCTGCCGTTGCTGACGGGCAAGAGGGGACAAAACTGAAAGTATCACCATCTGGATACAACACAAGTGATCTTGTGTTGGCACGACATTTTCATAGTTTGTTTCTCTGTCATCTTCAACTGGTCAGAGCACGCAATTATATTTTTGTGAAGTGTATTGCAATTTTTAGGAGGACGGAGATTAGCAATAGAGTGGACGAGCATTATTTTTGTAAATAATCAAATATCTCTTCAATTGGATGGTAAAATGATAAAAAAAGGGAAGTGTTTTTTACTAGTAGACTGCAGAAGGGAAATGTATTGGAGCCTTGGAGGGGTAAAAGTTTGTCCTGGGACAGTTTTAGATGGACATGTCAATATTTGACATGTCATATTTATCATGCAATTTTAGAGGTTGCGGTTATCGTACTACGGGGCTGTTGGACGTCAGCTACACTTAATACCTTGCTATATCATTTTAGCACTACCAGCCACCGGGCCATAGCTTCCCTCCCAATATAATTGGTATTTATATTTGCTATAGCACTGAAACTAGTCTCAATCATTTGAGTAGGAGTCTTAACTGTTTCTCTTCTATGACACTATTATAAGTGTTCGAATAAGACTTTGAGGAAATGCGCATTTAAGCAACGAAAGGGGTCCTACTCCTGCCTGGAGATTTTATATGGAAAGAATTGTCATTGAAGCTGTTAGAACTTCAAACTGCAACTGGAAATAAGAGGAGCACCTCCGAGCGATAGCCCGTCAGCCCCCAAGTCACGCTAAGGACATAAATTAAAGATGTAAATAGATATATAATAGCTCTCTCTTTCCAAATTCCATTTGCCTCTTTAAACCTACTACTTTCCACCACCTAAGAGACTCATCACGGCTGCATAGAGCTTGCAAATCCTAACAGTCACAGATCACCATCTCTGGTCCAAGACAAATGTGCATCGCTCTCCTGGAACACTTAATACATTCCCAACAGTTCTTACCTTTTGTTTTGTTTTTTTTTTCCTGGAAGAGTACGGACTGAAGCTTGCAGAGCTAAGATTAAGAAAACAGGGAGCTAGGGAGGTAGAGGAGATGATTAGGACAGGTCACGGGTGGAATACCGTGAATGAAAAGTGAAAAACATCAAGGTCAGTTGGGAAAAGTTAAAGAGTACATACACAAAAGCTCTTCTAAACTATAAATGTTGAAGGGTTGTAAATGAACAAAATAAACCTCACCTCTATGAACTTTGAATTCAACGATGACAAAGTTTCAATTTCATCTTATTAATTTGTATAATGCTCAGTTCATCCATAAAATTAATTAACAATTTAGTTAATTTTACTATGTATTAATCTATATTATTATTTTTTTTAATTTTAGCAAGTTTCCAAGCTACATAATACATGAATTAAATTGAGAATGAATCTCATATAGTACAAAGTTTTGGATCGTGTAAGAATGAACATAAATATTTTCAAAGGTTCAGTGTCTATGTTTTATTAGTAGAATGTATTAAGAAGATTGATAGCTAATAAAAAGAAAACTCAATTGTTATTTCTTTTAATTTTTATAAATAAGTTGAAGTAGTTTTTGTTCAAAAGAATCTAGTTTTTTTAACTTCAATTTGACCGTTCAAACATAAATGACTTGACAAGATTCTAAAGGTCAATGACTATTCTCATTTTACTATAAATACCACCTCACATTATTGTGAAAGAATACTAACCTTCTCACTTTTTTCACGCTCTCTTAAAACTTTTCGACTCACACATCAAACAATATTTAAAATTCTATCCATTTAAATTTTAACTACTCATCTACTTGCCACTGGACTTACGCTTTAGTAGCATTGTGCCAACATCCAATTTTAACTCCTTCATTTTTCTTTTACAAAATTTCCAAAAAATAAAAATACCAAAAATTAAAAAAATTTCTTGGTCAATTTGATTTTTCATAATTTAAACTAATTTTACTATTTTTCATAAATTTTGGTTATTTTTTATGAGTTTCAAAAAAAATCACCAAGCAAAAGGAGTGGGGAGAATAATCATGCAAAAAAAAAAATTGAGAAAAGAAAATACAAAAAAGAAAAAAAAGAGAGAGAGAGAGAATATCCCAATACAAAAGAGAATATCTACCAAAGGGGATCAAGTTGAAGGTATAATTGGAAAAAATACAAAATCTATGGTTAAATTAAGAGTGAATTCGAGGTAAATTATGAAAGAAAAGAAAAAGAAAAAGGAGCAAAAGGGGTTCAAGTAGAGGCACAATTAAAAAGAAATGAAAGGTCAGAGGATTAAAATAGGAAAAATAAATGAATATGTGACTAAAATGAACTTTGGCCAAAACCTTAAATTTCCCCTATAAAATCTTCTTTTTTCTTATTTCCGCTGTTCCCTCCCAAAAGAAAACCCCTCCTCTCTCCCACCCATAGCCAAAACCAGTTGCCGCATCATCCTTTCCAGCGAATCCTCACACCTCCCACTTTCCTCAAGCATCCATCCCTTGCCGCTCCTGCCACCTTTTCCCTTCCACTATCATTGCCATCGAATGCCAGCCTCACCACTACGGAGCCCCTTTCGCCATCCCCTTCCTACTATAAGCCTCAAAATATGTAGTCCTAGCCAGCCGTTACCCATCTCTCTCAACCCTGAAAGATCACAAACGCAGCCACCGCAGAGCCATCCCAAACCAACTAAGATCTTCAACCTCCTCCTGTCCAACCAAACCTTCCTCCAGCCAGACCACCGAATGAGACTGCCTTCTAGTCGAACTCACCTCTTGCCAGACCACAGAATGAGACTACCCTCCATCCAAACCCACCTCTCACCATTCATCTTCTCCCTTTAGCCACCATAGAGCCACCTTAAACACCCATTCTAAAACCCAAAAAAACCCAATCGAAACCCACCTCTACACAGACCACCAAACACCACTACCAAAAACCCAGTCAAAACTTTGTTCTGGCCACCACCCAAACATGGATTAAAATTTAATTATTGTCACTACTAACAACATTAAAAAGAAGAAGGGAAAATGAAAGCCAAACTAAGCAAAAAACAACTCTTAAACCGTATTACCCAACTTGACGGCAGGTTTACATGCATTCTAGGCTTTTTTTTTTTTTGCTTGATTTTTCCTGTAGAAAAGTTCCCTAAGCAGAAGTAAAGGAGTGAAACATCAATTTTACGACGGATGGTTGTTTTTCTCCTATGTTGTTGATTGTAAGTACCAGAATCTTCGTCGGAGTTGAATAAATCAGAACTGACCCTAAATAGAAAATTTCTATCATTTCACATTCCACCAACAACGGTCATTCAATTAGTTCGTCATATTTTTTTGACTGTTGGGTAAGTCGCCTAAGCTAGCTGATATTAATTTATTACAAATTGGTACAACAATCTAAAGTAATTGCGATTATGATGCATAAATGTGATTTGATTATGCTAAGATGGAATATTGAAGTGTGTCGAGATATACTATTGTATATCAAATCTCTTGATAAGCTTAAATGTAGGATCGTCATACTCGTAATATATACACTAAGGTGGTATTTGTTGTTCATTAATACAACAGAGGACAGAATGTACAATTAGATTAATTGTAGGATCGCGATACTTGTAATCTATATATAAAGGCATTTGTTGTTCATTAATACAACATAGAAAAAAATGTACAATTCATAATTTTTTCACTATATATCGGAGACAGATCTGTCAACTTTCCATCCCTCTTCGGCATTTGTTTTTTCAGCCTTGCAGTTACGATCGTCTAGATAGTGCTGATAGGCATAGGAAATAAAACCCCAGATAGCCAACAACAATGAAATTGCCTTCACACCACCCAATTTGTCATTGAAAACGAACACAGCTAGGACTGGAACAATAGGCAGCCCCAAAACACTAATGGCATTGGAAAACAAGGAAGAAACATCGAAAATCAATCCAACGGAGCCAATAGCGAAAAGCTGCCAAGATATGGCAGTCCCTACTAAATTCATCACATAGGAAACCTTTCCCGTTGTATACCCATCCATTTCTCTCGTTAAACCATGCCAGTCTCCACTAGCAAAAAGTCCAACCAGAATCGCAGAAGTCGCTACTAGTTGCTGGTAGATTATCATGTCCACAACTACCTTAAATGTCTGCCCTTTTATAACCTTCCTGAATATTAGCTGTGACAAAGAGAGCACCAGTCCATATCCCGCGGAACCAGCAACAGTGCATAGGAAACCAATTGTATATTTTGATTTAGAGACTCCAGCAGGGTCGTCTGAAGACTCGTTATTAAAAACAAGGAGGACGGAGGAGATGGTAAGAAGGACTAGAGAATTGATTATAAAAGGTGTGAACTTCTGTGCACTGAGCAAAAAGGAGAAGAAAGCATTGAAGGCCAACTGAGATGCAGAAATGAGGGTGTAAGTGGACACTGGAAGGTACTGCAGTCCAGTTGAATATAGATAGCAGTCTGCTGCTAAAAGCAGTCCAATTGATACATAAACCAATGCAAGTGTTTTGACTGATGGTGATTTTATTTGGCTATCATTTGTGCTGGGATTATTGATCGTTGAGATGACATAGAAGGGAATAAGAATAGGAAATCCTACAAGTTGCACAAGTGTTGCCATCCATTTGCTGTTTCCACCTTTAACAAAGTACAATCTTCCCAAAAGTAGAGCCACTGACTGTCCAACAAGGAGAAAGACTGTATAGATTGATATGCGGATCCACCATCTGTAGTTTCTTGTTCGTGGAGCTGTTGAGCGATGGTTGGTGATACTTGTAGATTGAGGGAAGTGTGTTAGATCTTTAGCTTCTTGATCTGATAATATATAAGAAACAATGATTGGACAATTCAACTACTGTAAGGAATACTATTTCATGATTACGTTGATTTGTCAAAATAGAAGAGATATCATCTTTGTTTGAATTTGGGAGATATGGCAGCACATATAATAACATATTTGAGGATGTCGATATCTTCTAGGGAACTAAAATCTTGTTGCAAGCCAGAAAGAAAATATTCCTGGGAACTTATTAACTATATATACCCCGAAATCCTATACTTGATCTCAAGACAAAGACCCTGGAAAACAGCACCTGATTCTTGGAAAAACATTTTACAACAGCTGCATAGGTGACCAAGTTTTACTGAAAAAATTTCATCGGGAAATATGGATTTAAAGCAGTCTGCTATAGTGCTAGCTGCTGACTAGCTGTATAAGAAGAAATGTAGAAGAAACCTACTCTAGCTTTCCTCAATCCCTTTAAAGAAATTTGATGTGCACTTGTTTCGTCATAAATAACCAATGATTCCAAGGTTATTATATACTGCTATATACACATCAAGAACTAGAGAGAGCTGACTCACCCGTTATGTGCAGTTGCACTTCCTGCGCTTCTCCCATGTCGAAGGTACTGCAGAAGCCGCAAAAAGATAAAGCTTTTAGAAGAGAGAAGGAGAAAGAGCGGAGAGATTTTATGTTGAAATGAAATGAAGATGCAGCAAGCAAATGTATTTATGCATTTAAATTAATGGCGTAATTGCCAACTCTGTTTTTATATAATAAAATCAGTGTTTAATTTGTAGTGTATTTTCAAATAATTCAATTATATGGTTTTCGATCTGTTATTTTAATAAAAATTTTCAACTAAACCATAAAAAATCTAAATAATTTATACACGACTCTTTTTTTTTTTTTTTTTAGAAAATACCTCACAGAATGTGTGAAAATCACGTTTTTTTGGGGTGTTTTTGACAAAACATTAGTCATGTAAAAGTTACGAAATTTTTTTCAATAGTCTGGTAAAAAAATTGGCTCGGTAAATAAATTTAAAAATCATTTAAAATATAAAAATATAATTAACTTATTTTAAAATATAAAAATAAATTAAATTCGTACCTTGTTAGTCATGTACTATTTCTCCTAAATTAATCCTTTGTTTGATTTGTTGACCCCTCGTTCAAGGTTGTTTTGCTGGACACTTACTACTAACTTTTTATATATGGTAATTAAATCTTGCATCCCATGTGTTTCTTGCAATTAACGACATACAATTGATCATTATTCAGAAACCACAAAACCAATGTGAACAGAAGCCGCTTCTTATTGTCTTTATTGGGCATCAAAGTCAAAGGTCAGCAGGCGCATTAATAATGTATTCTCCCTGTTTTTTTTTTTTTTTATAAAATATTTCTATGTTTTTATACGGTTTAAAAAATTAATAATTATTATATCAGATCAGTATTTTTTTTATTCAATTTTTTTTAAAATATTTATTTTGTTAAAAATTATAAGTTATCAAATTTAATTATGCATTATATAAAATCAATATTAATTTAAAAAAAAATTTATCCAAAATTAGGATGATAAATAAAAAAAATTAAATTAATTAACAATCAAATTTAAAATAATTATGTAAAAATAACATATAATAGAAATGGTTTACTCTCAAAATTCTGGTAAGCATTAAAATCTTTATAAGAATGAATAATATTTTTCATGTAATAAAAAAATTTATCTTTAAAATTTTTATGTTAAAAGTATTTATATGTATAAAGGGAAAGTATAAAAAAATATTAAATTTTTATTAATAAAAAAATGGAAAAAATTATTTATTTTCTCTATCAATTAAGAGTATTTTAGGAAAATATAGTATTCAAAATTTTGACTAGACAAATATTTTAAGATAAATATAAATAGAATAGAAGACAATCTCTTTGAATAGAAAGAGTATAGTTTTAAGATGATCCACACAATTTCTTAGCCATTTATTTGGTATATATCCAACAATGGATAAAAGATATTTATTTCTTTGTTGTATCACAAATTTTCTCTCTTTAACTAAGTTACCATTAAAAAACTCTCTTTCAATCAAATTAGAACCAAATTTTTGTATTAATAGAAATTAAGACACTTAATTTTTGGTCAATCAATTGAATCAATAATTATTTATGAATAATGAGAATTAAATTTTTATCTTTACTAGACGAAAGCAATCTCTCTATCATTAGACCATATTTCTTGATGTTAGAACAATTATTAAATTAAACATGAGTACGTTAACCGGAAATAAAAGAAAAAGGGTAAAATAAGAAGAAGAAACTTTACAAAGAAAAGAAGTAACGATAATATATAATCATGAGTAAACTATAGTAAATCTAACTTAGTTAAGAAAGGAAATATGAGTAAATTGAAAACTTTGGAATATATGTCAACCATTAGGTGTACACTATCAAAGAATTTTGTAAAACTAAGTGTTTTATACATATATAAGTGGTCCCTCCTCTATATTTATTATTATTATTATTATTTGTAATAATGGATTAATAGATAATCTCCGAAAGGTGGATGCATGATCTAATTTTGATGCTTAACTTGCCTTTCGTTAGCTTTCATTATATTCATCTCAAGGTTAGGTTGATAATACATTTTGAACAACCTAGTATGCTTCTTTTATATATATATATATATATATATATACACTAAAGAGAAAAGACCAAAAAAAAATCCTTTCATCACACATATATCGTTTTTTAGGTTTAATTCTCGAGTTCAAACCCTCCAGCAGAAAAGATAAATATAAGGAGAGATTCTAGGGAATCTGATTCGTGTAATTAATGGTAGCCAGGCGTATGTAAGCCTATAATATCACAAAAAAAAGTGTATATATATATATATATATATATATATATATATATATATATATATATATATAATCACCAGTACTCATTAAAAATAAAATTAAATATTTAAAAACATATGAGAGATATTTTGAAGATATAAAACAGTTTACGGAGATTTGAGAGAGTATTCAAAATAGATAAAATAGTCATTTTATGCCCAATGAATATTTTATTAATTTTATGATGCGTGAATAGTAGTTTTCACATGAAATAATTAATTAAAGCATGTTGTTTATGCATGAAAAATATTTTGTGTGCTTAGAATATTTGTTAGAGGGGTGTTGAATTATTTTATGTGCTTGTGTGAATTTTATTATATGCTATGAATATTTTATTTGAATTTTAATGTGTTGGAATAATGTTTTTAGAGGTAAAGAATTTAATTAGGCACCTTAAGAGTATAAGGAATTTTTTTTAAGAGCATAAAATAATCATATGGGATATGTGAGAGTGCCTAGGAAATTTAAATTAATTTTAGTAAGTATAGGGAATATTTTTAATAGAAAATAGTTTAATTTTCACACTAAATAAATAAGTTGGAGGCCCAAATGAGAGCCAAAAATTATGAAATTTAAATCAAACTCCCTTAATGAATTTTTGAATTTATTATAGAAATAAATTGGATTTTTGAAATATTTAGAATGGAATTTTAAAAGTAAGGACTAAATTGCATAAAATTAGGGACTCCATTGCATAAAATTAGGGACTCCATTGCATAAAATTAAGAGTCTAATAATTCAAATTAAATTATGTGAGAATTTTAAGGGTTAGAAATTAGTCCTAAAAACTAAAAAAGAAGGATTATAAGTGAGTTTTTGAATAAAAGGAGGATTTAGAAAAAAAAAAAAAAAAGCCCTAGAAAACTCTAGAAACTTGGAGGACCAAAATTTCTCATTTTCCTCCCAAATTTGGCCGACCTAAAGCATTAATTAAGTCTGACTACTAGTAAAGTTTATGGCTGAAATTAAGCTAAATGAAAGGCTTAAACACAAAGAAGAACAAATGGCCAAAGTTTAGTCAAATAAAAAGAATTGTTGGAAATTGGATCAAGGGATGAGATTTACCTAAATTAAGGATGGAGATGAGGTCAACAAGTCCAAAAAATTTTCTAAAATAGGAGTGCTAGAAAAATTAAAAAGAGGAGGAAAATTAAAAAACACAAAGGAAACTCTTGCAAAATTTTCACTCAAAAATTACCTAAAATAATCCTAACCAATTTTAGACCCTCTAAATCGGTGGATTAAGCTTCAACTTCAAGTTGGGAGCCGAATACCTTCAAGAAGAAAATTAAAAGAGCTAATTCAAATTTAGGAGGAAAAAGGGGAGGAAGAGAATTTTCAAGCAACGTACCTTTTCAAGGTTAATTTAGAGCTTAATCATGTAAGTTAACCTCACCTACACCACAAGCATGATTAATTTCAAGTCAATTTCATATTTAATTGTTTGATTTGATTTAATTGCTCAATTAAAAAAAATTAGGGTTAGGGTTCTTGATGAACCAAATTCGGGGCTTTTAAATTCTTTTCTTTAATTGGTATTTTGGCACTTGATTCTGAATTATTTGAGCATGAATTAGTGTTTAGGAATAAAAAATTACAATTTAATTGAAGAAAAATCCACTAATTTTTAGGAATTATATTCGACCTAAACTAAGCAAATTAGGGTTTGAGTTCAAAGCAATTTGATTCTGGTTTGATAGGCCATTCACACTTGAATAAGCATGTTTTGATGAGTAAGAATGGAAAATTTGCTAAAAATTGAAGAAAATGGGTTATATGGGCTTGGGCCTAATTTCGACCCATTAGGGCCTAATACGAGTTTGGGCGGGAATTAGGATTCTAAATTTTAATTAAATTGATTCTTCTAGTGAGTACATATTTAGGTACTTAGTATTAAAATGGTAAGGCAAAATGAGGAGAAAATCTTAGGAATTTAAATGGTGAAATATTTGGCCTAAATAAGGAATTTTGGGAATCAAGTTTAAATTAAGTTCCATACACTAAATTAGCCCGTTCAAGCTCAAAATAATGTAAAAGGATGGTTTAGAATAAAAGTATTCATGAAAATTTAAAGAAAAATTGATTTAGGAAAAATTAGACCTTAAGCCTATTAAGGGCCAAATCAAAATTGGACCACATAATCAATGAAATAATACCTAACTAAGTTAGAACATGGATTAGTACCTAATTCGGTAAATTTTAGATGTGAAAGGCTAGTTAGGAACCTAAGGGAAATAACTTAAAAATGTTAAAAGGTAGGGTAAGTTAATGAAACTAAAATGAAATGTAATTGTTTACTTACTTTTATGTTGTGATTTTATTTTCTTTCCAATAATGTATGTGATGCAATGAATAATGAATGATGGTTATGCTTGAGTTGTGATTGGTGATGAGAATTGTGGTTATGGTAATCGATGCGTCAATGATGGTTATACTCGCTTGATATGGATCAATGTTATTTATGCGGTTATGTCTGTCCAAGTTTATGTGTTTTCATGACATGGTTACATGACCATTTAGGACATGCACTTGAGTATCATTGTTAGCATGCATTGTCATTCAAAATGCATATGCATGCCAAAGCTCATGAATAATGTTTTTAAGTCATGAAAACGTATTTTTTGCTATGAGTTTTTGATAGCGATCATAATTATTTTAAAGAAAAAGGATTTTCATGAATTTAAGGATTTTTATAAGGATGAGCTTCATTGGGTTTTCCATA